AACAGTTAGATATTCATTCAACTTCTGAAGCTTTTGAAGATTATTTGGAAAGGTTTGAAATCTGGAGCATGACCAAGAAAGATGATGAGGATAATAATATTGTGGCACATTTTCTCACATTCATTGGAAAAGAAGCATATGGCTTATTAAAAATTTTGACTTCACCGGAAAAGCCCATTTCTCTTCCTTATACAACTCTCAAGGAACTACTTCTAGACTATGCTAAGTATACAAATTTCGAATGCGGTAATGGGAGATTCCGTAAAATAATTTATGAGGATATAAAAAAATCCCACTACATTACATGACCCCATCCCAGTGGATACTCAAGGTTGTGCAGTTCACGAAGACGGGCACAAGTTTAGTCAATGTTTTTCTTAAGGCAAGTTCCACCCTTTTAATCCATGTAAATTTCGTAATTGTAAGTGCTTTAAATGTGGTGATGTTGGACATACTCAGTCAGTTTGTAATACTACTGTTCATCTTGCTGCAACTAATATTAAGTCTTGTGATTCTGATTCTATTAAGTTGAGTATTTATAATGATCATTTATCTCTATCGACGATTTCAAAAGACAGTTTAGAGTCATATAGCAGTTCAGAGTTAAATGAAACTCAGGATTCTTGCGAGACAACAATTTCTAATAAATCAACCTATCAGATTTCTCATGTTATTGTACCAGATATGATTCACATATTTCTGATGAAATTTCTTACAAATCTGATGAGAATATTTCGGATGAATTTAATCATGATCGAAAATCTGATGTAGTTTTGATTGATGCTGATTTTTCTAATGATCTTTTACTCTGCAATGACATTCTTAATAAATTTGAGGAAACTATTTCAGAAGAATCGAATCTTGATGTCATATCAAATATTGTTTGTTCTCATGATGCATTTGTTTCTTGTGAGAAACTTGTTCAATGCGAAGCACGGGTATTAAATGAGTTAGAGTTTGATTACAATTCAGATAATTCCATATCAACTGTTGTTTGTCCTTATCATAAATTCACTTCCAATGTTTACTCTAGTCAAATTGAGAAAGATGTTTTAAATGAAGCAACATTATTCATAACTTGGGGATATGATGATCCGACATTATTTCGTGGGGGAGGATAGTCTATGGTTCATATCTTAGGTAGTAGTTCCAGTATTCAACCGGCATGGTGATTGTTCACAATCCCAGAAATCAAGTGAGTCTGTTCCGATTTCAGTTGTTAATTCTAATACTAATGAGTGCATTCTAGATAATACAGAGTCTTTATCCAATACATTGTCGGACAGAGACAGTATGAACTTGAAGAGAAGACGTTCAATTGGTTACAGACACTTAGACTCTAATTTAAGCTGTGGCGGATGTGGTGTTTGAATGAACTACTGACTCCTTTGTACTTGTTGAATGTTTGATTTCGAATTCTAAATACAGTACATTCGTTAGTGCTTGTGTAGTACTTCTTGGTTCAATTGCGTTATCCCTGGGATCCTTAGTTCATACTATAATTCAATTACTTCTAATTATCATAGAGTGTACTCCCCTTGGTTACAACTTATGTTCTTCGTGATAATCACATGAGCATCACTCACTATTCATCATCTTGTAAAAACTTATTTAGCCAAAGTCACCTCGCGGCACTACATCAACAACTTATAATCACTATATCTCAATCAAATCGTATTCCGCCTCATGCTAAACTGCATACTTGCAACTAACTTGTATGCACCATCAGCCGGTAGGTATAAATATAAATAAATAGTCTATGGCAAGTCAGAACATTGAGTCTAGAGCATGCCTCTTACGAATACACTCATGTTTAACGAATTGCTCTTATCTATCTGTCCGAAATCCACATGATTATTACTTTTCACATATTTAAAAAACTTTACTTTTTGATAACCATTCATATGTATTAGTAGTATCACTAAATTCTATCACGGTCAAGTAAAAATGAGGTCGAGAAAATCTCCCCATAACTAAATAAACCGTATCAAACTAACTGGAACACTAATTGGAATTCTTCTCCACGGTAACACTTTTGTTCTTCCAGTTAGCCTACTAATACAGATCCAATTGGAAATCAACTCAAATGGACAGCTTACAGGTATAAACGTTATTTACTTTCATAATTTAAACCAAAACTAATACCAATATTAGCATTTTTACAATATGGATTGCTTTTAATATTTATAAACACAAAATACCAACTACCTATAAGTTAAGTTATTAACCAACGGCTATTAACACGCATCTTACGTTTTATTATTATTATTACGGCGACTCATTAAAATATCCCTACACGGAGTCATTTTATTATTACTATAATCCCACTTTGTTTAGCTCGAATAATATTTACCTAAATTTTCATGTTAATCATGTTAAACATGCAATCAAATACTGTTAAAATTATTACAAGTATTTCCCGACCAGATGCTGCTGCCCTTTTGATTTATCTTTCAGCTTATCAATACTCGGAGGGTTCTTATTATCCTTGGTAACCTTCGGCGCGCGACAATCCCACTCAACGTCACGTTGATTCTGGTGGGAGAGTAATGTAGTGGCATTGAGCCCTAGCACGAGACAAAATGGAAAATGGACATTCAACATTTAACGCTGGAGAAGGCGGGAATAATGAATCTAATTAATACGAGTTGGTCAGGTGGCATGGCTCGGCCTTGCAGGCGTGGTCCCAGCTGAATGTTATCTTGTGTCTTTTATTCATATTAAATATATTCTATCCGTGGCCTAAGCTTGTTCTCTATCACGTATTGGTAATTGTTACAACGCAATGAGTTGATGTAGACGATGATGTAACTTCCACGTAAGATCTTATAGATTAGGCGGTTACATCATGATAAATCTGTAATTTTAGGATTAGGTCTATTATTAAAGCAGTGCTAATATCATAGTAGACCATAATTCTGCAAACTCACTATGAGGATGACGTTGCGAACCTCTTTTACATGCCACCCCTAGGTAAAAGTGATCATGCAGTTTTAACTTTTGACTTCCATATAACTGTCAATCACGAGAACGCGTCAGCTCAATCCAGATCAACGTCTGGAAAGCAAGCATACCAGATTTCATGCACTCAGCATCATTAGTAGATTGGACAATAGACCCAGAGTCCTCAATCGAAACGGCTTGGGACGCATTCCGAAATTTGTGCTTAAAAGTTACCGCACCCCACATTCCTTGGGCTGTAACAAGGGGGCCGTGATACTCCCCACCGTGGTTCAGTAGGGGGTCCGCATCCTTCTCCGTAGGAGAAAAATGTGGGATAGATTTCGGTTACTGGGGACTGATGAGACTAAATCTCAGTATCAAAAAGCCAGGAATACCTGTGCCTCGACCCTCCGTAAGTCTAAAAAGCTGTACGAGGAAAAAATTGTTAAGGAATCCATAGAATGTCCTAAACGCTTGTATTCCTATATAAACCAAAGGACGAAAAGAAGAGGAAACATTCCTGAACTATGGGGAGACAGTACTGCCGCATTATTAATGGAAGATAACTTTGGTAAGGTTCAAGTGTTCTCAAACTACCATAGAAGCACACTTCCTGTCAGCGCATACTAACCCCCCATACACATACACTGGATAGCGTGACCATTAAAGAACTCCATGTCTTTGGTCTGCAAAATAAGCTTGACATAGGTAAATCCATGGGGTCAGATGAATTGCATCTTAGGCTACTAAAGAATTATCTAACATCGTTGCGAACCCTTTAAGTATATGCTTTAAACTATACGTAACGCAGGGTCGTTTACCAAAAGACTGGAAGAACGCCATAGTAAGTCCTGTCTTCAAAACAGGTATGAAACATAAACCTGAGAACTACCGACCCGTTAGCCTAACTATTACGGTTGTTAAAATCTTAGAAAAGATTATTCGGAACGAGCTGTTTAAGTACCTCGATGTAAACCGGATCCATTCGGAGAAACAGTACGGTTTCAGAATGGTTATTCTTGTCTCATTAACTTATTAGTCGCTCGTGAAAGCCGGTGCGCTCTTAAAGACCAAAAGTTACCTGTAGACGTAGCCTACATTGATTTCAGCAAAGCTTTTGACAAAGTTCCGCACAGCCGGCTGTTATATAAGCTAAAAAATTGTCGGAATTGGAGGCAATCTACTGATGTGGATAGAAGACTTCCTAGTTGGACGCCAGCAAAAAGTACGGATAAACTCAAAGTTATCTGGCTGGGAAATTGTGCTTAGTGGTCTCATACCTGGCAGCTGCCGATAAACACTTCCAAGTGTGTTGTGATGCATATCGGTCATCAAGGTACAGATACATACACGATGAATAACACTGAGCTACCAGTTGTTCAGACACATAATTACTTAGGAGTCACCGTTAGCCAAGATCTAAAGACTACTGCACACTGCCGTGCAATAGCCGCCAAAGCTTTTAGAACTTTATGGTCAATACGTAGGGCTTTTACCCATATCGACGCTCAAACGTTTTTGACTTTGTTTACAGTGTTCGTACGTCCTAGACTTCAGTACTGCATACAAGCGGCTAGTTCCTGCTTTGAAAAAAGACAGTGAGCTTTTGGAAAAGGTCCAAAGAACAGTAACTAAGTTGATTTCCGGAATAGCGAAGCTTCCGTATGATGTTCGACTGGCCAAGCTAAACCTATTCCTTTTGTCACATCGTAGAACTAGAGGCGACTTGATTACAGTATTCAAATTGCTTAGTGATAAATTTGCACCTGATATGCCCTCATTTTTCTTGCCTTCCAAAACAGAGAATTTACGAGGGCACTCCAAAAAAGTTCACAAGCCCAGAACAAATTACTTTTCAGCTGATTATCGACTTTCCGATCGAATCATCAACGGATGGAATTCATTGCCTCAACACGTGGTTGAAGCTCCATCCGTAAATTCTTTCAAAAGAAAGTTGGATCAACTGAGAGAAAACAATTGCCAGGACTAACACAGGCCATCAAGCCTCCTGTCCTTTCCAAACTGAAACTGAAACAACCCCTTGAACTGTTTGAACTAGTGACCTTCAGCTTGGATTCAAAAGTGTGGACTACACTCATAATTTCACTCTTATTCTGCATTTAGAATCCTAGAGAACTTTTCTTACAATAAAGACCTGTTTGCATAAATGCCATCAACAGATTGTTTAGTATTAACTTAGCTGTGTCTAATATATGTTACATTCGTTATTTGACCCCTGAAAAACATGGAACCAAACAAATTCCTGATTATTTCACCATGCCGTTCATAAAAGATTTCACGGTACTTTAGTCTATGAACTTGATTTTATTTTAAACTCAGTGGAAACTTTTCGTTACTCAAATACTACAGCCTTTCATTCTTTAATATGAGGAACCAATCAACCCTTGCTGAGAATGTGGTCATCATTGAGCCTGGTTCTTTCCATTTACGAATCGGCCGTGCTGTAGAAATATTGCCGAAACGGTTTCCACATTGCATTGCCCGTAAACCTAAACCTAACGTTCCATCTTGTGTTGAGCCTATTATCAATCGACAGAAAGCTGATTTTGGTTTATCCTCTCTCCAAGAATCAGTAAACACTATCAGATCATTTGTAAATACATTGTTTAATTTGAGTTACACAGCCGAATCAAGTGGGTTACCTGCTGTCACCCCATCTAGATTGGAGCACACTGAAATTGAAGATATTAAACTTTTTGAATGGGAGTCCAATACACCTTTAGATCAGGAATTTTATGCATTGAATGATGCTTTTAATCGTGGTCTCAAAGACGGTTATCATATTAATTGGCCTATGCGTTTTGGATTTTTATCGACATCTGCAAACTACACCTCCATACTGCAAGATCTGGAAGATATTTGGTCTACAGCTTTGGAAAAACATGTATGTATTTTAATCGTTTATTTATTGTAAAAGCTGAATATTCAGAAAAAAATTATTTTGAATGACTTGTGTTTTAAAGAAGTAACAATCATTCCTATATTTACATATTTGTGATTCATTTGTTATGTATTAGTCGTCAAACTGTCGAGAATTGAGCAGTTATTGTTCAACTTTAATAGCACTTCAAATGATGATAATTCATGTTTCGTAATCAAACCGAAATCATCGGAACCGTAACTCTTATCTCATAAGTTTTCGATGAGTCTTCAAACAAAATGCTGATAATGAGATCTAGATTGCCATTTTGGTTTTCTCTATATTTTCATCCGTTGATTGTTTCGTCAACTCTCAGTGAAGAAATCCATTTCAGCATTCATTTAACTACCTAAATATCTTGAAATTTACTAGTGATTCTTAGTTTGATGTAAAGCTTATAAAATGTTTGCTCCTAATAATTTGATAGTCTAATCAGTAGCATTAACGTTTTGCAAACGGTAGATGCTGATTGTGGTATTACAGCTCGATAATTAGGCACTCATCTTTGTACTAGACTTTAAGTTTTAAAGAGGAAAAAAGGATCCTGTGTAAAGAATGGCTCCTAAATGCCCTGATACGACCAAGCGGGGAGAGTACGCTCTCCCACGTGGAATGCTCTCACATGGCCACGCGTATATAGCCTCTTCCAGAGAAGTCCTACTCACTGCCTTCTCGTGGCAAGGGTGTTGTTCACGAAATTGAGAGGAAGAAAAGCGAATATCCGGCACTTTAACCGGGTTGGTGGACACGGAGAGTCCACCTAGGGGAGTTGGAAAACCCTGATTCCAAACCAATGGTGCACATTGGTTCCAGTACCCTGAGGGAACAAATGGCGTATGAAGGAATCTTCGGTCACTGGCTACCATGGGGCTACAACTCCTTACGATGCTCCAGTGCATTGTGGATCAGACTTTTAGGTCGAAGGCTTCGGGTGTGGTCGCCTAAGAAAACCACCTGCTTCGGTTTGGGCACCCGGGGCGGTATCACAATCCTCACACAAATGAAATGAGATTTGTGTGGCGCATATGTATCTGGTGCCCCCTTGTACCAGTATTTATGTGTTCGAATAAATAAAGATGGCAAGATAAGTAGATAAAAACCCTATTCTTATTGCATCTTAAGGAAATCACTCATCCAGGTTTTTTTTTGAAAGAACTAACATGTCTGTGTACAAAGGAATATATCAGGGAGTATGTAAAGCATTTTTACTGTTGGCTTATTTAAAAGTTATTAGGATACCCGAAGTTTGAGTTTTGATTCTTATTGACACTTATTGATGTGAAATATCTGAAATGTCTGGGGATTTTTATGCCTCTTTTCTTATTTTAGAATATTTTGCTATTTTTGTGATACGGAACAATTCTACCTACAAATCATTGCTGAAAGTATTTAGTTGTATGTACTCATTATTCACTGAACAGTAATTAGCATTGTATCTTGGTGCTCTTTCCCAGTTTATTTTCTAAACTAAATTAGTTTACGCTGTTTTGAATTTAATTAAGTTACAGATTGAGTTTCCAACACTCCTACTTAAGTTTAAGTACTTTAAGGTTATTATTACCCCTCATACAATAGGTTTTGCTTTAGATTGAGTATAAAAATCTATACTTGATTACCGAGTTAAGTTATTAGTTTGATCATATTCGAACGTTCTAATCATCCGTTAAAGTGTCTAGGAGTTATAGTGGTAGTAACATTGGGCACCCGAGCAGTATCACAGCCCTCACACAAATCAATTGAGATTCGTGTGGCGCATATGTACTTGGTGCCTCTCTGTACCTATACTTATGTGTTAAAATAAATAATTAATAAATAAGTAATATTGGGAAGTAATGTTAAATGACTATTCACTAAATCCTTATTTATCGTTTAGATCTCAAATTTGATCTCGAATAAGAAACAGTTCTATATATTTAACTTTCTGTTTTTATTATTAGGTTGGTATTCCGCGATCAAATCTTAGTAATTATAGAGCAATTCTAGTGATCAGTGATGTATATAAAAGAAATGAGATACGTTATCTAGTTCATTTACTACTCAATCGACTAAAATTTGGACGTGTTTTTGTACATCAAGCTAGTGTCTGCGCTACCTATGGCATTGGCTTACCCACTGCTTGTGTTATCAATATAGGTGAACAGAAAACCAGTGTATCCTGTGTAGAAGATGGAGTGGCCCATACAGAAACTCGCATCATCTTACCGGTTGGACGAAGTGATGTCCTACGAGTATTCCATTCTCTTGTACTACCTAATGGATTTTGTAACAAGGATGGTTGCATCGTGTAAGTTTATGATAATGAGAGGCTTGCCTAGTGATTTTTTACATGTCTGCCGTACTCCGAAATCTTTTTAAATTAAAAAAAATCATAACTACATTCTTTGGATATAATACAGAACCGTAATCCTACATCTAGTCTTAATATTTAAAACTGGATCCATCTGTACCTGTTGGTATTTGAAATATTATTAGACTTTTGATATAAAGTTATCAATCATCCTGCTTTATGTGCGTTTGTTTCACAACAACTGAAATCAACCATAATAATCTATGGATCAGTATCACTCAGCTGCAACGTAGGACCAGGCACATATATGCATCGGTACAAGTTGCCATACCGCATTAGCACAACAAGATGAACACCGGATTCATAGAAGTAGTCACATCAAAGGTAGTAGTATATAAAAGAAAGATTGTGTATAAGGATATAATACAGGAAGAAAGAATTATTTCGTAGAAAGAAAGACATGAAGCGATTTTAATCACTTAGTTTAAGGAAAGACGAGAGTGTATGCACCGACGCCATTGTGATCGATTCTGGGCCATGTCACCAAGAGTCTCCAACCATTGGTCACGATAGTCACGCGGACCCCAACCAGGCAGTCTGCATCTACCAACATGGCTCAAACCAAAAGTTAGTGTCTTCAAGCACTGATGCCACGTTTTGGTTTGGCCGCCCCTAACTTTCTTCCAATTATCCCTAACACCAGTGAGCATTAAGCGTCGTGGTAATCGGTGTTCAGGCATACGCAACACGTGGCCCAACCATCTCAGTCGATGAAGATTCATAACTTCATCAACTGATTTACCATCATCTAATACCCTATGTCTAACCTCACTATTACTTATTCGGTCATCCCAGCAGATACCAGCAATATTTCTAAGGCATCTGTGGTCAAATACTTGTAGCTTACGAGTATCTTCAACTCTCAATGGCCACGTTTCGCAGCCGTATAGTAGAACGGAACGAACTGCCGCGCAGTATACTCGTCCCTTAATTGATAGACGGATATCTCGCCTTCGCCATAGGTGACGTAAGTTGGCAAAGGCCAAGCGAGCTTTTCGAATCCGTGTTGAGATTTATTCAGACATAAACCCATTTGGGCTGGTCAAACTTCCAAGATAAGTGAAGTTGTCAACGCGTTCGACTACTTCACCCCCTATCCTTAGTTCAGGTGTTGACACAGACCAGTCCTGGAGCAACAACTTGTATTTAGAGGGAGAAAAGCGCATGCCTAACATCCTAGCATTGTTGCTCAGTGCTATCAAAAGACTCTGCATTTCATCAGCGTCTTCACCAAACAGGACTATGTCATCCGCGTATTCTAAGTCGATAAGTGGACCTCCTGGTAGGAGAATAATACCCGAGAATTCAGTCGACGAAAATGTTATTTCCATCAGGAGGTCTATGATAAAGTTAAACAAAAATGGATAAAGTGGACAGCCTTGACGGACCCCACTTGAGGCTACAAAAGCAGATGACAGTTTGCCATAAACTCTAACTCGACTAGTAGTGTTCGAATAAAGAGCCTTCACAAGGTTTATGTACTTCTGAGGTACGCCTTTCAATGACAGACACTGCCACAGAACCTCTCGGTCAACAGAGTCAAACGCTGCTTTTAATTCAAGGAAGACCACCATTGTCGGACGCCGATAAGTATGCCTGTGTTCTAGAACCTGACGAATGGTGAATATGTGGTCGATGCAGCCACGACCAGGTCTGAAGCCAGCCTGATTTTCACGTGTTTGTAGTTCACGAGTCTTAGTTAGGCACCCGATAATTATCGAGGCTAGTATTTTAGATACTATATTAGTTAAACTAATCCCTCTATGGTTGTCACAGGATGATTTTGATCCTTTCTTAAATATTGGGACGATAAGTGATTGTGACCAGTTAGATGGGATAACGTCTAACTCCCAGATTTTAGCTAAAATATTAGTCAACCTAATCGCTAAAACTAGACCACTATCCTTAAAGACCTCTGGAGCCAATCCATCTGGACCAGCTGCCCTTCCTCGTTTTAGATTAACTATAGCCTTTTGAACTAACATTAGAGTAGGGGGACCTACTTCAATGTTCCATTCACACTGTCTGGGAATGGAGGGTAGTTGTAGAGTAGCTGAAGGCCAGCTAAACTGTTCTCTAAAATGTTCCGCCCATCGTTCTAAACGTCTGGACTGGGAGCAGATGAGAGTGCCGTTTTTTTCCGAAATAGTCTGACTTACACTTGACTTATTAATTCCAGTTTCTTTTATTAGTTTGTAGAGTTGTCTTGTGTTCCCTATAGCCGCCGTTTTTTCTATCTCTTTTGCTTTCGTTGCCCACCACTGCTCACGGTCGTTCCTTAGACTTTTGCTTAACCTAGATCTGATTTGTTTCCGCTCTTCGTCGTGTTCAGATCCTGATGGGATGAGTTTACGAGAATCCATCAGTGCAATAGACCTTGAAGAAATCCATTGGTTCTTTGTAACCCTGTGGTTTAAATCACTAGTTGATGGCACTGCTGTTTCCGCAGCTGCTTGTATAACTTTTCAAGCAACATATGGGTCAGCCTCGTTTTCAGAACTACCTAAGTGTGACCTCAGTTGTTCCTGGAACCGACTTTTGGTTTTCTCATTACTCAATTCAATTCTAATGTCTTTTTAGTGTGACTTTTCTGTGTTCAGTGAGGCGTAAGCAGATGCGTGCTCGTATTAGAGCATGGTCGGAGTCCAAGCAGGTACTCAAGAATGAGTGACGATCTTCTACCGACCCTCTCCAACGATGACTGATGGCAATATGGTCTATTTGAGTCCATCGTTGGTTTGGTGCAGGGGGGTCGCCATGTTAGACGATGTCTCTCCTTATGCTTAAAATTTGTGTTTGCTAAAAATAAACGATTGTCTGAGCAAAGTTGCAGCAGACAATCACCATTATCTGTTCGCTGTGCCGGAATACTAAAATACCCACCTAAATGTCTTTCTGTTTCGTTTAAGCTACCTACCTGGGCATTAAAGTCACCTGCTACGAGTACTATGTCTAAACGTTTACTTTCTGAAGAAGTTCAGACAGCTTTCTGTAAAATTCATCTTTCACTTCATCCGAACTGCAGTCAGTGGAAGCGTAGGCAGAAACGACGAAAAGGCAACAACGTGTGTCCCTATCTTTCCGGGTTCTTACGGAGCCGTTTAGCCAAGCAACGCATAGACGACTGTTAACAGGGATCCACTCTAATAGCGCTTGTTCTGCCCTCATGCTCAGTGCTATGCCTACACCTGCCAGTCCACGAGAACTAGCCGTCGGGTCGCCAGATACACGGAGGGTGTATCTCGTCGGCTCTCCGTTTTGCCGAGGTGAGGTCAAGTGAATGACCACACTGGGATCCTGTATGCGTGTTTCGGAGACACAGCATACATCAATTGTACGAGATTCTAGGGTTTTAGCCAAGGATGCCTGCTGACCGATTTGACATAGTGTGCGTACGTTGAAGGCTCCAATGTGTAGATTGGAGCGAGGTTTCAGTAGGCCTGGGACAGTGTTTTGAGCACTAGAATCGTTGGCTGTGGTGACACTTGAGAAGGAAGCTAAAAGAGGAAGTTTAGTATAGAAAGTCGATGTAGGTGGAATAATAGGAATTGAAGAGGGAGGTTGATTATGAATACAGTGGTCTTAAGTGCTGTTAGAGGTATGAGGAAGGGTTCTCCTGGAGGTACCTGAAAAGGAAATTGGGTTAGAGGGTGGTCTTAGTGACCTGAGAGCGTGACCGCAGTGCCCAAGGGACAGCTGCTTGAGGTCGGTCACACACGACCTTTTTATGAGTAGTTTTTGTGTTAGCTCCGTACTTGTTGAGACATTACCACCAGAGACGGATATCCGTGGGATAAGGCGAGGTGTGCATTTTTAGGGTCGACCTTTTCTAACCCCACCCCTCCTTGTGGGAGGGCAGCATCGCTGTCATGCTGGTTGTCTGAAGGAAGCACCTTACTGCTGTCACACCTCTGTACAGTTAGCAGTATGACTTCGCCTTCGGACCTTGGACTTGTTGCTTTTAGTCTTACCGCTCTTCAACCGACCTGCCTGGCATGATAGGACCTTGAGGAACGGTTATTCCAGCCAGTGTAACTCAGTTGCTTCATCACGATAGGCAAGCCCGACCACCACGTCAAGGTAGCAACAACGGTCGGGGGGATCAGTATATCCTCCACAAACTTTATATTATTGGGTTTGTTTCCGAAATCTGTTAGAAGCGTGGTACCAAAATAACCTCCGGATAGAATCATATAACTGTCTATTGCAATTTTATTTCTAATGGTTATATATATATATATATATATATATATATATATATATATATATATATATATATATATATATATATATATCAACAAGGCGTACTTGCAATCTTGAAGCTATTAAGAACGCAAATAGCTGAATGGTAATATCTCAGACTGTGAGACTGGATTGTTCAAGCCAGTCAGTCGCATCGTTACGTATTCCCGAACACCTCAGTTACTTACTTACTTACTTACGCCTGTTACTCCCAATGGAGCATAGGCCGCCGACCAGCATTCTCCAACCCACTCTGTCCTGGGCCTTCTTTTCTAGTTCCATCCAATTCTTGTTCATTTTTCTCATATCTATCTCCATTTCCCGGCGTAATGTATTCTTTGGTCTTCCTCTCCTCCTTCGACCTTGAGGATTCCATATGAGGGCTTGTCTTGTGACGCAGTTGGGTGTTTTCCTCAATGTCTGTCCTATCCACTTCCAGCGCTTCTTCCTGATTTCTTCCTCCACTGGGATCTGATTTGTTCTCTCCCACAGTAGGTTGTTGCTTATAGTGTCCGGCCAGCGGATCTGAAGTATTTTGCGTAGACAACTGTTAATAAACACCTGTATCTTTTGGACGATGGATTTCGTAGTTTTCCAGGTTTCCGCGCCATACAGTAGAACTGTCTTGACATTTGTATTGAAAATTCTGACTTTGGTGTTGGTTGCTAATTGTTTTGAGTTCCAGATATTCTTCAGTTGTAGATATGCTGCTCTTGCTTTGCCAATCCGTGCCTTCACATCTGCATCAGATCCACCGTGTTCATCGATGATACTGCCCAAATATGTAAAGGTTTTTACATCTTCCAAAGCTTCTCCGTCAATTGTGATTGGATTGGTACATGTTGTGTTGTATCGAAGAATCTTGCTTTTCCCTTTGTGTATATTGAGACCTATTGCTGCTGAGGCTGCAGCTACACTGGTTGTCTTCTCCTGCATTTGTTGTTGTGTATGCGATAGAAGAGCCAGATCATCTGCGAAGTCGAGATCATCCAATTGCATCCTAGCTATCCACTGTATCCCTGCTTCCCTTCAGATGTTGATGTCTTCATGATCCAGTCGATCACCAGGAGAAAGAGAAAGGGTGAGAGTAAGCAACCTTGCCTAACACCAGTCTTTACTTCGAACGACTTTGTCAACTGTCCTCCATGCACGATTTTGCAGTTTAATCCATCATAGGAATTCTGTATGATATTGACTATCTTCTGAGGCACGCCGTAGTGTCGAAGAAGCTTCCATAGGGTTGTTCTGTCCACGCTATCAAATGCTTTTTCGTAGTCGATGAAGTTGATATAGAGTGATGAATTCCATTCAATTGATTGTTTTACAATGATCCGTAGAGTTGCGATTTGGTCTGTGCACGATCTATCCTTACGGAATCCTGCCTGTTGGTCTCGAAGTTGGGCGTCTACGGAGTCCTTCATCCTGTTTAACAATACTCTGTTGAAGACTTTTCCTGGTATTGAAAGAAGAGTGATTCCTCTGTAGTTGTCACAGTTGCTGAGATCGCCTTTCTTTGGTATTTTGACTAGAAGTCCTTCTTTCCAGTCTTTTGGTACCTGTTCCTCATCCCAGATCTTTCTGAAGAGAATGTGGAGTATCCTTGCAGTTGCCGCTACGTCTGCTTTCAGTGCCTCTGCTGAAATGCTGTCTAGTCCTGCTGCTTTGCCACTCTTGATTTGTCTGATAGCCATGCTGATTTCTTCAATTGTCGGTGTGCCAACATCAATTGGGAGGTCCGTGAGTGCTGCTTCGATGTTGGGTGGGTTCAGTGGGGCTGGTCGATTCAAGAGTTCTTTGAAGTGTTCTACCCATCTGTTTCGTTGTTCTTCAATGTTGGTGATTATCTTGCCTTCCTTGCTTTTCACTGGTCGTTCTGGTTTACGGTGATTTCCAGAGAGTTTCTTTGTTGTTTCATACAGTTGTCTCATGTTTCCTTCTCTGGCAGCCTTTTCCGCCGTCAATGCCAAATCCTCCACATATTTACGTTTGTCAGTTCTGATGCTCCTTTTCACTTGCTTGTTTACTTCTGTGTATTCAGCCTGTGCCTTGACTTTTTCTGCTCTTGTTCGACTGGTATTGATTGCTGCTTTCTTGTTCCTCCTTTCTTGAATCTTATCCAGTGTATCGACCGTGATCCAATCCTTGTGATGGTGCTTCTTTTGACCCAGAACCTCATGACATGTTGAAGTGATTGCTTCTTTTATCTCTTTCCAGTTGCTCTCCATAGTAGTTCCTTCTCCATTGAGTAGATCATGAAAGGCTTGGAACTTGTTGCTGAGGGTTATCTTGAATTTATTGAGTTTGTCAGTATCCCGAAGAAGAGCCGTATTAAATTTTTGTGATATTGTCTGCCCCGTTGTCCGGTGCCTCTTGAGTTTCAATTTCATCTTGGCGACCAGCATGTGATGATCTGATGCTATATCAGCTCCTCTCTTTGTTCTCACGTCCTCCATCATCCTCCTGAACATTTTGTTGATACAGATATCGTCAATTCGGTTCTGTGTGGTGTGATCCGGTGAAGTCCATGTGGTTTTGTGTATGCGTTTATGTGGGAATATAGTCCCGCCTATGACCAGTTTATTGAAGGCACATAGATTTGCAAATCTCTCACCATTTTCGTTCCTTTCTCCGAGTCCGTGTCGTCCCATGATCTCTTCATATCCGGTGTTGTCAGTTCCAACCTTGGCATTTAGGTCTCCCATTAGAATAGTCAGGTCTTTTGTTGGGCACTTCTCGACGATTGACTGCAGCCTATCGTAGAATTGATCTTTAGCGTCTTCGTTGTATTCGTTGGTAGGCGCATAGCATTGGATGACGTTCATTATAATCCCCGTTTTCTTGGTTTTGAAGGAGGCTTTGATGATCCTTGGTCCATGAGATTCCCATCCTATAAGTGCATTTTGTGCTTGTTTGGACAGCATCAATGCAACTCCTTGTGTATGTGGAGCATTTTCTTGTTCATGTCCGGAGTATAACAGCAGCTCCCCTGAAGCTAGTCGTTGTTGTCCAACTTGCGTCCAATGTGTTTCACTGATCCCAAGCACCTCTAAATTGTATCTCCTCATTTCTGCAGCAATTTGGAAAACTCTCCCAGTCTCCCACATTGTGCGAGCATTCCATGTACCTAAATAAATGGTTGCTCTGGTTGTCAGAAGGGGCATCGGCCTCGTGACTTCCGAAGAAACTCGGCTTTCATCGTGAGGCGTCATAATTCTTCTAAACGAAGACCTTCTGACTCCCAGGGCAGAGTTTAAATGGTTTGAATAATTCTTTCTGGTTAGCATTTTTTAAGCGAGTTAGTTTTCTACGGGATGGGGTCGCTAACCCCATGCCCAACCCTCCTCCTTTATCCGGGCTTGGGACCGGCAGTAGCCCCCGGAAAGGGGCTCCAGGCGGAGACTTATTATTATTAATAACTTTATTCACTGTTATATTTTGGTACAATACAGAATTCTCAGCACGAGGTATTTCAACAAGCGTCGTTTACAAAAACAAATCGACTGGCCATCTTTACCGAGTACCCTAACCCACGTATTCCTTACTCGGTGATCCCAAAATACACAAGCAATGCTCCCAAAACCTATGGTCGAATACCATTGACCTAGAATTATCGTCTATTCTTAACGGCCATGTTTCACATTTATAAAGTAGAACGGAGCAAACTATTGTGCAGTAAACTTATCATTTGGTGGGTAGACGAATATTTCGCCTGCTTTGCATGTGAGCATAAGCCAGTCGAGCTTTCTGAATACAGGCCGTGTCAGCTCATCAGGACTGATGGAGCGGCAATACGCTCAACTACCCCACTCCCTATCATTAATTTACGTGTTGATGCAGGTTAGCCCTGAAGCAACATTTCGTATTTAGAGGCAGAGAGTCGGACCACATACATGCTTTTATCGTTGCTTAGGGTGGTTAGCAGACTACATATTATCAGCGTTTTCACCAAACAGAACTATATCTGCGTATTCGAGCTCATAGTCTTACAGTAATCATCACTTCCTCAAGATCCCATTAACGTCTTGCCGATGAGTGTCAATTAGCACGAAACAGGTCCCTAGTTTCTTAATGATTACTTATAGCCACCCAACATCTCATCATAGTCCACACGATGTCCAGTTACTCAGACAAGTAGCCATATTGTGATAAATTCAATCAGGACCAAGGGACTAGACAAACATGACATAGTTTGATACTCAGTGATCAGTCAATTATATATATATATATATATATATATATATATATATATATATATATATATGGCATTTAATATTTTTGATTTGTCCCAGATTTTATTCAGATACCGTCATAAAAATTAAACAAGATTCAAGAAATTCGGATATTTGACAAAATCCATCAATATTGGTACTATATCTGTTTACGTATCAAGAGAAGAGTTTACACTGATTGGTTGGGCTTTTTAATGCAAAATTATCTTAATATTTAGAGTAGAAGTGGTTCAGCGATTTAATCATTAACACACTCAACTTAAACTACCTGGGTTATATGTTCAATTCAGCGCTACCTACACTAGTTTGGGCAGCTAGGTAATGTCTTTAATGCTAATAAACGTGTGATTCATAGCCGGTTACATTAATTGTTGAGCTGAACCACGTTTCAGAATTGTCTTCTGAGATTATCTATCATTAATAGTCTCATTAGGATATTGAAAACATTGTAAAAAAAACCACTTCACTGTTTCAAACCAACGATGAGCTTATCATTCTTTGTGCTATTTTTCCTCAAAATACGCGTCAATGATATCCTAGAAACGGAGTGACGTTGTAGATTTTATTACTTGAAGAAAGTTCTCCCACCCTCCTAGCGCAAATTCGTTTTGGAACATTGTTAGGTTCCGTTGCATAATGGGATCACAGAGTATTAGTGTAGACGTGAAGCATAACTTACTAGGTAGAAGTAGTCAACCGATTAATAATTCTATAAACTCATTGAATAAGGCAATTAAAACATGTTATACATGTTCAGCCATCTTTCTCGATGTTATATGCTTGTTACCATAAGTGTTTAAAAACAGTTGGATGGAAGTCTAACCAAGAAAAAGCATAACATACTTGAAATCAGTCAGTCATACGTAACGTAGATACACCCCATTTGCACAGGAAGATGAAGTTTTTAGTGTAAATCCCAGAATAGTGGAGGCAGTAGGAATATTAGTGGTAACACGAAAGTTAGGCGTCAAAGATATGGTTTGAGATAATATGGATTAGTGGAATAGGAAATTTAAACTTCGTAGTTGTAGCCTATTCATTAATTTTAATAGGTAGTTGGAAAATCTAAGTCACACGACATGCAGTTGTATTCATTCTTTCCCTTCCTCCCAAGTCTTCAGTTTAGTGCCATTTCATCCTTCAATAAGATTTCTTTCTGAATTATATTTTCTGCTTAATCAAATATACGAACATTAGTCTTATTATTGCGATTCCTCTGCTTTCCATCTTTTTAATCCCCTGTACTGATGTGATCTGGGTCGGTTTACACCAGTACGTATGTCTTAGGCCATGTGTGGTCTATGATATTATTGTCATTATGTAATCCGTAATGTTTTATATCGTGTTACATGTGATTTCACGATCGAGTGTGTAACTTGTTTATTTATACATACACAAACTTAAAACTGATTTGGTCTAGGGATTTAAAATATGAACATCTTTCTGACGTGGAAGATTTACGCACACTTATGGAGAATTCAGTTCAATGTACAATAAGTTTACTATGTCAGCAAAACGAGAAAAATAAGCTCGATGAAGAAATCCAATCGAAAACTAACGAATCGTTATTAAATAATGATTATTATAATATAACACTTCAATGGACACATAAACAAAATCAATATGATGTTTCATCTCTTCATCCATCTACAGTTCTATTATCACATATACTTCCATTTGCTTGTATTTCTTCATGTGTTCCATCAAAAGAAATCTATTGTACATATCAAGTACCTTCACTACAATCATCAGAACCGGATGATCCTTTTGATGATATGTATATATCTTTGACAGCACGTGAACGTCGTAAACGTGGTTTACCGAATGAACATCAATCAACTATTCTACTTAATAATGAACAACTGGAAACAGAAATAGATGTTACGGAACAGGTAAAAAACAATGTTTTATATTAACTCAATTTACATTTGAAGCAGACAAATAAAAATGTGGAATCTTGCGTAAAGTTACATCAGACTTAGTTATATCATACTTCGAAACGATAGTTTAGAAAGATGAAATCCACATAAGTGAAAAGATGGTAAACTTGTGATTATGAACGTAAATGTAAAGGTTGATAGTGGTGTAGTGGTATAATAAGTTGAAATAAAAGAGAAGGAAAGTTAAGAATAAAATGCCAATACAATTTCTAACGTGTAAAACGTGGTTTTATTTCCGTTACTGCGATTGATTTTTTCTTCTATGTAATTTTGGATATCCAAACACCAATGTGTTATTTGATCAGAACAACTTCACCCATTATGTTTAAACCATTCTACACGTTCCAAAATATGCCATATCGTACTAAAGATTTCCATAATTTACAAATTAGTCCCATCTCTGGTATTATCAATATGCTGTAATGATAATTATAAATAAAGAGAAATATAACAAGAAAATAAACGTGGTATGTGATTCTCGAGATTCAAGAAAATTATAATAAACAATTTAAATAAAGGGTGGGTTTCGTAATTATAACTTTATTGCAAATCTATGGAATCAGGAAGTAAACAATTAGAACTTATTTTTGCATAAAGCCACTTAACAACATCCTTCCATTAAACGTCTAAGTAAAAATGCGAACTTTCAATTATAGAAAGTTAATCAACAAAGATTACTGTGTGAATCTGTAGCCATAACTGTTAAGAGTTCAATAAGTTGAATGTGATTTGAATCCATGATTTTGCAGACCATTGAACCTTAGCTCCTGATCTGACATCAGTTACTGATGAATTTTATCCAAACCAACTTTTCCTATGGAAATTATTGACTGTCAAGTAGTTTTACTGACTGATATGTTTCACATAATTTCTTACAAAGTTAATCAATGGAGCTTGTATTTAATAGTTGTTCGAGCATTTCTTTCACCATATTTTCTCTACAGGTGGCTCCAGTAAGCAACCCCCTTCCACAAAAACCTAACTCCTTTGAATCCCTTCCAGAGGCAGTTTGGTGGAGTATCAGTCAGTGTGCAAACTTAATTGGTTCTCAATTAGGGTCAGAAGTTATTGTTCAAACCTCTGGTCTTGCACCCGGAAAACTCTCAAAGTTCAAGCTCTGTAAGTGACGAACTACGCCGACGTTTGTTGGGATGTATTATTCTTACTGGTGGAGGGGTGGCTGGTGTTAATAATCAAATAATGGAAAGATGGTTGACTGAGCAGCTAATCACAATAGCACGGGAAAAGCAAGCAACAACAACCGTATCAAGCCACATACCAACAGTTGAAATCATTCATCACTCTGAACCTGGAGACCTCTCTTGGTCTGGTGCTAGGTTGCTTCTGACTTCTGACTTGATAAATGACTTGTGGATCACACCAGTCGAATGGAACAAATTTGGTTCGAGAGCTCTTCGTGAAAAAGCACCCTTCCCTTGGTGACAAACTATAAATTGTAGATTTATGAACGCATCTGTGGAATTTCTCATTCATGTTACCAAATGCATTTATTCCAGTTATTTCTAGTTTTTTCTTTGCGTACCTGTCGAAAAGAAATTAAAACTTGTCCAAGGAAATTACGAGTAATAACGTTCATCTCCATTTATATAAAAAGCCAATCCTCATTCTTATGATATCAAGCCGTATACTGACTAATATCCATATAGCCTAAGGAAATACAAATCATTCCAATAAGCTATTAAGAATAATAGCAATAGCATCAGTAGTCTACGAGAACACAGAGGTGCTGCGTTCAGGAAGGAATCTATTAGTTGTGAAGTCATTATTTCAGGGGTTAGTTGGATCTGCAAAAGAAAATTGTCTCTGGGGATTTCGTAGTCGTCTGTCATCGAAGTAAATCCTGTAACGTATAACCCTCCCATCTGATAAATTTCTAACAAACTCATTCGTTTAATTATTGCTTAATGCGAATGAAGTATTGCAGCCCAACGAACACCCGGATAATACGAGTTACCGTTCTGTCTGCACTTATTGCAAATGTTGGGAGTGGATAACTCGACTTCTCCCCTTGTATGGTTCTTAATAAGTTTGTAACTAGCAACTCTAAAACACCAATAAGTAGTGTTCATCAAAGACTGTCTATTACAATGATGCATTTTAGAGTAGATAACTGGCTTATGAGGCGTCCGATCATCATTCAAGTGATGAAGTCACTGAATAAACATTGGTAGGGCTTTAACTAAAGAACCTATCAGAAAAGTCAATGAACCCCAGGAGACTGATTCTCATACGCTATAACTCAGTTATTCTCTAATATTGCACTCGCCTTGGGTATTGAATACGCGCTTCAGAAATAAGGCAACTATTTTCAAAATACCAAAGCGTTCAGTCGCACAGACACGGCAAACTGACATGAATCAACAAGCTCGTTCGCAGACAACACGTTTGTGATTAAATCAATGTGAAGAAAAGCAGTTCAGTCGACGCAGGTTGTGGTTGGAAGCACATGCGAGGATATATCTGATGACCACTACACCGAAGACTTGCAATACGACTGATTAACATTTAGAACAAAAACGACTATTGACAGGATTGCAACTCACCTAAATTACGCAAATTAAGACGGATTTACAGAACCATGTGGTTTCATTTATGGCTTTCTTAGATGCAAATGATGTAGTAACAATTTACAAGTTAAAACGAATACAGACATTGATCAAATTCATGGAAATTGAGACCAAACTAATATAGAGTAAATACAAATAACAGAAAATCACGAAGCCCCAGGCAACAAGAAAGACAAACTGAAGTGTTATAAAGTATACGGGTGTGAGGAATCAATTCAGAAACAGAAAACTTGAGCATAGCTGTTCTCCATAACGTCATCCTCCAAGCTGTAGTATAATGTCAGTCATCTACAACGTAGGACCATGCACGTATAATTATTTTAACACATAGATATCGGTACAAGAAGGCACCAAATATATATGCGCCACACATATCTCATTTGATATGTGTGAGGGCTGTGATACTGCTCGGGTGCCCAAACCGAAGCAGGTGGTTTTCTTAGGGGGCCACACCCCGAGCCTTTGACCTGAAGATCTGATCCACAAGGCAGTGGAGCATCGTGAGGAGATGCAGTCCCATGGTAGCCGGTGACCAACGATTAGTTCATACGCCATTTGTTCCCGCAGGATACTGGAGCCCATGTGCACCTTGGTTTGGGATCCGGTTATAGCGCCGGACATTCGCTTTTCGTCCTCTCATTTTTGTAAACAACACCCCTGCCACGAGAAGGCAGTGAGTAGGACTTCCCTGGCAGGGGCTGTATACGCGTGGCCATATGAGAGCATTTCGAGAGGGAGAGCGGACTCTTCCCACTCTCGGCCGTACCAGGACATTTGGGGGCATGCTTCTCGGCTCTCTGAGCTAAGATCATGTGTAGTATCTGTTCTTTGCAGTGTAATTTCTGCAACGGTCTCTAAACTGAGGCCAATGAAATTACCTGTATTTTTCACTTCCGGACGGGTGCTGTGAGCTTGCTCAACCCCGTCCACGGGTCGGCCTCGTATTGCATTGCATGCACGTATAAGCATCGGTCCAAGTTGCCATACCCCATTAGCACGACAAACTGAACGTCAAATTCATAAAATCAGTTGCTCCAATGGCATAAATCTACTACTGTATCACAATAACCAAAGCAAGCTACCTTTGTATTACGCCAGGTGCTATGTTCTTTTTAACTGATGGGACTAATCACCACTGTGTTATGAATGTTGGTTATAGATTAAATATTTAAAATGTGTCGACCAGTATAGTTAAAACGTTGTGCAAGGGGTGTGGGTAAACTGTAGTCAACAGAGATTATGCAAGGATCTAGTGCTTAAAAGAAGTTTAGTCCCAAGAGGAATGAGATTTAAGCTCAACCGCATGTGCGTAAGGTAATATTTCTACCCGTGTAGTCAAACTTTATTCCTAACCACTCACGTTCCAAAAGAGCCAGACTCGATAAAAATCAGTATTAATATAAGAAAACTAACACGACAAATTATATTATATATATTAAAGTCACATAAAAGCTGCAGAAAAAAATGAATATTCATATTATGTATAATATGGAGAAGAACAAGTCACACAAATATAAATAATAATACATATGACTATTAAGCACATGCGCATAAAAACAAGTTAAATAAATGCAAACTAATGTGCGTATGTCTAAAAAAAACTAATTTACATAAAAAATAAAACAATTATTATATAAAACGGTCCAGCCTAATTGGATGGCCATAAAAGGGAGATAAAATAGGACATTTGTAAGTAAAACGGGTAATGAACACCATTAGCCCCCATCACAATCAATGCCATACAACATTTCTGAGATCATATAAAACGCATTAAGATGCGACCGACGAATCCCCATTCGTATCTTCTTTTACATCATCTTCAGCTTTTTCTTCTGGTTGGTCAGAATTGTTTCCATTCTCAGACACTCCATTAGTTAGCTTTTGATTGGACATTTTGTTTGCCAGCTCAGTAATAATATCACAAAATCGCGTACAATGTTGCTCAGGTATTGTGACTGAGGAACGAATGTTAGCACGAACTTCGGATATACGCAGAAATACACCAAATCTATTAGAACCAACATCGAAATAAAATGTCTTGTTGCCTACAAAGAGTACTTTAGATTCAGGTAAGTCTGAAAATATATCTGTAAGAAAAAAAATGCAGTTTATGATATTAGATTTCTTGAATTCATATTGTTTAAATGATGTGAATATGAATAAATACTAATTCTGGTAGATATTCAGCATTAATAAAACAAGAAATGTACTGTTATCTTTGACAGTGAAAGTGGTATATGAAAATTCTCTTTTGAAACTATACAATAATAAACTGTCATTCTTATTACGTAGTCTGAAAACGAGCCTCATATTTAGCAGGAATGTGGTGTGCAATAACAAACACACTAGATAGACGACCATTACGAACATGGAAGATAAACCTGAACTGATAATAACTACTTTAATTAAAAAGGAACCCTATGTTAACAAAAATGACGCGGATATCATTTAACATCTTGGTAGGGAACTTGAGCGATATGACGTAGTCCAGCAACGAGAAAATCATCGAAAATGAGCCGCAACCGATGTGCCAAGATTAACGACAGTCAGTCAGTTACAAAGCAGGACCAAGCACATACATGCATCGATCCAAGTTGCCACACCTCATTAGCACAGCAACACGAACGCCGGATTCATAGCAGTTGACTCGATGGTGTAATAAATAAAGGGGAGATTTTATCTAAGGGTATAGTACAGGAAGAAAGAATTAGTTCGTAGAAAGATATGAATTTTAACTTCATAGTTTAAGGGAAGACAGAAAGTGTATACACCTACGCCATTGTGATCGACTCTGAGTCATGACACCCAGTCTCCAGCCATTGGCTAAGATAGTCACGCGGACCCCAACCAGGTAGTCTGCATCTATTAACATGACTCAGACTAGAAGTTAGTGACTTTACAGCCTGATGCCACGTTTTGGAGTGATCCGATTACCAAGATAAGTGAAGTTTTCAACGCGTTCGACTGCTTCACTTCCTATCCTTAGTTCAGGTGTTGACGCAAGCCAGTCCTGAAGCAAAAACTTGTATTTGGAGGGGAGAAGTGCATCCCAAACATCCTGGCATTGTCGCTCGGTGCTATCAAAATACTCTGCATTTTGTCAGCGTCTTCACCAGATAGGACTATGTCATCTGCGTATTCTAAGTGGACCTTCTGGTAGGAGATAAGATTGACACTAAATGGTTGTTCAGATAAATAACAGATTGTCGAAATTCAAGTCGCCGAACTGTTTACTTTACACAAAAAATGTTTGGTATGTTAGCTGATTACTTCCAGTGAAATAAAATTGTCTAAATTTTCAGTCGTTGAGGCTGAGTTAAAACAAACAATTCCACTTCTATAAGTTATAAGATTATCGCTACCGAATTTAAAACGTCGAATTTCTTGGTGTGATTCTATATCCATAAAACCCGCAGAAAACAAAACGTCTACAGAGCCAGAAGTGAATATACTTGTAACAGGTGATAACGAAGACTGCTATCGTTATTATCAATGTGATTATACGGTTGTGGATCGCAATTTACTCAAATAATCCAGTCAGTCAAGCGCAACGCACAATCCGACTCGTGTACGTCGGTTTAAATTACTATATCCCATTAGCGCGTCCAAGCTATTGGCTTCCGTCATACTTCGTAGGTTGTTCAGAACCCGAGAAAGATTAACTCGCGAGGAGCAGGCTGGGTTTCGTTCTGGTCGAGGATGTATTGATCATATCTTCACCCTCCGCCAAGTGTTAGAACACCGCCATACTTATCAAAGGCCAACAATCGTAGTGTTTCTTGATATCAGGGCTGCCTTCGATTCTTTGGATAGGACTGTTCTCTGGGATTGTCTATTGAAGAAGGGGGTGCCTGAGAAGTTTATTGACATCCTAAAAGCCCTATACACAAACACCTCAGGCAGAGTGAGGGCATACAACCACCTCTCTCCATTATTCCATTCGAGCACTGGGGTTAGGCAGGGTTGCCCAATCTCACCATTCCTCTTCAACCTCGCCATCGATGACATTCTGGAAACAGCTCTGATGGATTTAAGTAGTGGTGGTGTGGATCTGTTTTGGAGAAAGACTTCTCGACTTTGAGTATGCGGATGATATTGTCTTACTGTGCGGTTATGCCCAAGCCATGCAATCCGCACTTCATCAGTTGGCAATCAGTGTCCGTAGGTATGGTATGTGCTGTGCACCTTCGAAGTGCAAAGTACTTCTACAAGACTGGCAGGATTCTAATCCTGTACTCACTCTGGATGGTGAGCAGATAGAAGTAGTCGAGAAGTTCGTGTATCTGTGTAGCTGCATAAGTGCTGGTGGTGACGTAAGTGATGAGATCAATGCACGTATAGTGAAAGCCAGAGCGGCTTGTGCCAATCTGGGCCATCTTTGGCGCCTTTGTGATGTTAGTCTGGCTGTAAAGGGTCGGATGTACGACGCGACGGTGAGAGCAGTTTTGCTCTATGCTTGTGAAACCTGGCCTCTCCGAGTTGAGGATGTTAGACCACTGTCTGTGTTCGATCGTCGTTGTCTCCGAAGGATTGCTGGCATCCAGTGGCAACACCATGTCAGTAATGCAGAGGTTCGACATCGAGTGTTCGGTCACAGAGACGATAATGAAATTGGTGTCACCATCTTGAAACACCGACTTCGGTGGCTTGGACATGTTCTACGAATGTTGCCCAGAGAATTCCTCGTCGTGCATTATTTGCCGACTCTGGGACTGGTTGGAAAAAGCGGAGAGGTGGTCAGTATATGACATGGTGTCGTGGTATGAAAGAAAGCTGCAAAGGGCTGGCTTCTGTTGGTCCTTCACGACTCCCTGGTTGGGGTCCGAGACACGGTGTAACGCAGTGGCTATAGACGTTATCAGATATGGCTCAGAATAGAAGCCAGTGGCGATCCTGCTGTAACCTTCTTTTACTTTCTTCATAAAAAGTGGTTGTATCTTCCTTAACTGAAAGATTTCTTCTGGTTGTACCTTTTCGTTTCCCCCATTATTACTAGTATCACACTACCTCTCACTAATCTGGCATCAAAGTTGCAGCAATTTTTAGAGTGAAGAGTCTTAGTGGATCGAAAGCACGGTGTTAGCATAACACGTGAAGACCAAACGAGAAGACGGCTCGGACTGCAGAACACACCGAAAGATACAAATGGAAGATTAACAGATATGTATATGTAAATACTCTGTAATCTCTTACAATAAACATACATTTCTCATACATATTGTTTTGTTTTACAGAGATAGTAACAGTATTAGTGGTAATAGGATTAGGCATCGAACATACAATTTCAGAAAATATGGATTAATGGAATGAAAAAAAATCAGACTTAGGATCTACGGGAAGATAACGAGTGAATGTACCCGTGCTATTGAGAACGACTTTGAGCTGTGTCGTCCAGTCTCTAAACGCGGCCCCCAACAATATGGTTTGAACGTACCCATACAGTCTAGTCTAATAGTCAGTGTCTTCAGATAATTCAACTCTTGTGCAATCGCAGACACGTCGTTTACTATAAAAACACTGATATGAAAACATGGAAAAATGACGAGAAGATAGTGATTGGGAGCACTTTATAAGTGATATGATTTTCGCAAATCAGCACGGTAAACATACGTAACATAAAAAAAGTGCATAAAAATCAGGTTTTAGAAAAAAACATTACCATTTTCCATATCTCCTGAATAGCCTTGTATAAGATCAGTCAATGCATTGCGCAATTCGATCATACCCTGAGCTGGGATTGCAATCTGAACACGAACGCCCATAGAAAGCATAGCAAGACGCAGGAAACGACCACGTTCATTTTCCTTGAGATCAAGATAATAGCGCCTGCTATCACGAACAATAATGTCAGACGCAATGCGCCCATCTTGTGCGAGTGACTCGCGATTGTGAGATGGAAGTTGGCTATATGTGTCACTAAGTTTGTTAATTTTTTCTTTCATTTCCAGAGCAACAGGCATTGACATCAAGATGCGCGATTTCTGTCCTCCATTGCCGACTTCAGTTATTTTCACGAAGCGACCTCTCTTATTTTGCTTGATATCTAAGTAGAATCGTTTATTTTGTATACGAAGAGCTTTGGAGGCCAACTCTTGTTCCTCTTGCTGCCCATCTGATACGTTACGTTGAGTTGGTAATTGCAACTCACCTTTAAAACTTTTCACAGCAACAGTTTCTGGCATTGCGCAAACTAGAACCTTCTCTAAGATACCGAACTACAACCAGCTCCTAACCAACCTCTAAATTAAAATAAAAAGTGTTCATAATGAATGCTGAAAAGCTAATAAAGACAGGGGCATTTCAAACCAACTAGTCTCAATCAGTAGAAACAGGTAGAGACAAATGTAGGACACTGGTAGTTATATTCACTTTGATATCGACAATCTGACTAATCACATGCAGGGAACAATGCACAGAATAGGTTTAGTCTTGTTCTACAAATTTAGATTAAAACACGTAAATGAATAGGATACTGGTTACTCAGTTTAGTACTTTTTTGAATACTGAAGACAAATTATGAAAATCCAAAGAATACTAGAACACGGAAAAGAGAAGGCTCCCATAGTCATAAGATATAGTATACCTATATTCTTACATTAGATTCACAGCACACGACTCTAACCAGCTTCATGTATACATTTTTCAACATTTATGGTAAAAGTGTAGTATACTTACGACTTTGAATGAACGCACTAGGATTAAGTTAACACCGCAATTATTTTCGCAGTGCAGTGATAGGTAGCGTGTTATTATTAGGCCAGTGAAAATCGGCAAGATTTTATTCATAAAACATTTGAGGTCACTGAAAATATCTATTACATTACAATAAAGTGAATTTCAGATGGTGCTTACGCTAAGTTACGTGAAACACCTGATTCTAAGGCAGATTGTCTGTTGAAGTGCTTAATGAGATTCATGAGTAATCAAATTTTAGTCACTAAATCTCAACCCTAAGTATTTCAGGTTTGTAAAAAGAAAGGCGGTAATGCACTGCATTATAGATATCAGTCATTGTTGAAAACATCGACCCCAATTTATAAACCCAACTCAAAACTCCAGTTAAACTCTTGATACCTAACCCCAACACCGATTATTTCAGCTAGCAACGAAAACTATGAGGTGATAACTAGCAACGCCAGCCTGACTACTATTATGTATATACGTAAACTTTCTTTTTTCTTTGCTAGAAGGGATAATTTGACCCCAAATGCCCTGGTACGGCCGAGAGTGGGGAGTTAGCTCTCCTCTCCGAATGCTCTTACGTGGACACGTGCATACGACCACCGTCAGGGAAGTCCTATTCACTGCCTTCTCGCGGCAGGGGTGTTATTTACGAAATTGAGGACGAAAAGCGGATTGATGGAGAGTTCACCTAGGGGAGTTGAAAAACCCTGATTCCAAACCAATAGTGCACATGGGTTCCAGCATCATGAAGGAACAAATGGCGTATGAGCCTATTGGTGGCGACTGGTCATCATGGGACTGCATCTCCTGACGTTGCTTCACTGCCTTGCGGATCAGACCTTTAGGTCGAAGGCTACGTGTGTGCCCCATTAAGAAAACCACCTGCTTCAGTTTGGGCACCCGGGCAATATCGCAGCCCTTACACAAATCGAATGATTTATGCGGCGCATATCTATTTGGTGCTTCCTTGTATCAATATTTATGTATTTAAATAAATAATCACGACCAAAGCTGTAATTTGATAGTGTCACCGAGTTGGAAAACCCTGATTTCAAACGAATAGTGAGCAATGGTTTATGGTCCTGAAGGCACAAATGGCATAAGTCCATTTTCGATCACCGACTATCGTGGGACTGCATCTTATAATGTTGCTTTATTGTTGTGGATTAAGTCTCTCAGTCAAAGTCTCTAGGACTGGCTTTTAAAAGAACTATCTACTTCGTACTGGGTACCCAGGCAGTATTCCTGCTGACGCACGGATCCAACTTGTGACTCATACACACTTTGGTAACCCTTTACGCCCATGTTGGTGTTTCGATAAACGATAGTACCATATTAGTTAAGTTCTTATAATACACCATAGTAACATCACACACGAATCAATTCAGGATGTCACTCTAAAACTACCTACATTAAATAGTTTTATCACAAATTTATCAGTTTCATCCCTAATAATTGGAAATCTTATTGAGATGACTAGGCGTTGTCCTATTATGGATCTGATCCACGTTATTTACTAGTTATGAGGACGACAAAATTCAATTAGATCAAAATATATTGGACAGACACCAATAAGGATATTGGGTGCGCGAAGATGGGCCAGACTACCTCAAAGCACTAATCAATATGATCGCAGACTCCACACATCGCTGAGACAGACATATAGAGGATGAAACACCTCCGGGATTGCTGTACTCACACAAATATGTCATGTAAGTGACTTATAAATGGCACTCAATACTTTGGAAACAGAATTAAATGCTGTCTGTTCCACTTTAGTTAGAAATCTGGGTAGGATCAGAGAACGCAGACCAAATAATGAGGCCCAAGGGCTCGAACCCAAGTTTGGTAACTGCATGGAGTAGAAACTACACGGGTACATTTCCCCAAGCTTTTGTAAACACGAGATATCGCAGCAAAAGCTTTTCCTATACGTCTAATGGAATTTAAAATTAAGCCACACATGGTCAGATCATTAATATGCCTTCAAGCCATATTTTCTCTTTTCCCTTTAATTTTGAACACTTTACATCTATAGCGTTTTCTGTCTAGAGAACATGCCTGTATCCTAGATCATTCAGATGAACTGATGCAAACCAGATGACTTTATTGAGTTCGGCATCAAATTTCGCCAACGAATCCTAGAGGTCAATTTTACGTTGAAATAGTTCATCACATACGGATCCGTAATACCCATAACTGTTTGAGTGTTCACACAATGTAACTTGGGAAATATTCACAGATACATACCTTCAGAACGAATTAGGCAGCTGACAGCCTAGGCGCTTTAAGTGATCCTGCGTATTTAAACAAAGACAATTGATTAAAACTACAATCCTGAAAACATTGAAAAGTTAGCACGTGACTTACAAACAGCTACCTTTTCTGAAAGATTGCATTTCTCCGACGGTGTTTCTTCCATGAATTAAATATATTTATAAAGTAAGATGAACAATAATTTCATGTTCACATGAAATTATATCCCAATAGGAATATATATATACTACATTTTGTCTCAGTTTTGCTTATCTTTTTTCTCAATCATTCCGCGTACTTGTGGGAAGTGTTATTCTTGAAATCGTCATCAGGATTATGCCCATTGCAAACTTATACGCGTCTATGTTAAGAATGGCCTGAACAACAAAATCCGGGTGATAAAAATAACACGACGTTCTGTTCGTTTTTCATGTGTCTCAAGTAAACTGTGTCTGTCCCATGTGACATTTTGTGGTATATGCGACCAAGTAAACGAGTTGTTCATATAATGTTCCACTCGTAGTGATGAGTAAAAATCAGATTTCTCTCAACGTTTTGAATTTAGACTGTCTATGGTAGAAAACAATTTGCTTATCATCAATTAGACTGCCTACTTATAAGTGATGATGCCATAATGTTACCTCTTTCCTTAGTCTCCATCACATTGTAGGTCAAAATATTTCCTCGACATAAAGTGCTGTAGACGTTAGATATCAAGGCGGGTTTTATTAGCATTATCGAACATTACTAGCTGAAAGTGCCCAATCGCGTATCACGTCCATAACTATGCACCGGTCATCATAGGTGCCACTTCTCCATTAGATAGTCGGCAAAAAAGCCTCAAACCTATTTGCATTCTACTCTATTTGAATCTATTGTTTTCCCAACCCTCAGCTTTTACTTCCTCGGTCATCTTTGGGATATCGTACTTTATGTATTCCGACGTAAACATCTTCTGGTTTACTGTTATCTACAGCATCTCTCAGGAAAGTGAAATAAAACTGAAGCCTACGGGAAACTGCTACTTCAGCAATAAATTAGTCTCTAGGTTGAAGACAAACTATTTAGCACCATCTCATCTTTATCTATTTTACTAGCCTGACTGGTTCCAACGACTTTTGAGTATCAGATTTTAACTGTCTGACTACTAACTTGTAGCCAGACTTGTCATCTAAATCATTTATATACATCAAAATGTAGTGACCAGTGGGTTAGGCAATCATATAGAGACTTAATCGAATGGCAAGTATAGAACTGAAGCTCAAGCAGACTACAGTTGATGACCAATCAGTATCGCACGTTTAGTTAAGTTTCTGAAAACGAGATGCCCATTATCCCCCTCTTATGATATATTATATTTAAAACCACAGATTCTTATTGGCCATATGTTTTAAATTTTAAGTAATCACAAATGATTGACTGTAATATTAGATGTGTAGACGAATAATCTGATGCGCTTTTCGCTTAAGATTATTTAAAACGGTGGGAAAGGTTAAGTGTACTAAGTTAAATTTGCATAATATTGTTAGATTTCCTCTGATTAAAGATAGGTCCATGCATATTTTATTAGTTGAAAAGAATTACAATTAAACTAGACTATATCCACTGTTATACATGTTCATGTTATTTTCAAACTTTCTACTAAAAATCTTCCGTCGCTATTGCTTTTCTGATGACTAATATACTATTCGGAATACGATCTATGCAACCTTCCTGCCGATCACAGAATCTAAAGGTGGGCAAACGGTCATGGACAATAATTTCAGTGACAATATTCTCAGGCCATAATCGTTTGCAGGGCAAAAGCCGTTTTCAGAAGTTGAGAGTTGCATAAGACAAGCGAGATACACATATAAAATAGTTTTGACACGAACGAATTAAGCTATATATATGGTCAGGGGGTTATGGCATGAAATAACTCAACGAACAATGTCAACTCTATTGTTGCATTTACGGTTTTATTTTCGGACTACTTAGTTTTATGATTCGTAGCATTAATCATAGGACTTGGTATGGAGTGGTAACTAAAGATCATATGAAGAATTGAGCTCAGAAAAGCGGATTGACCTAATCAGCTGGGTGTTAAAGATTGCTGACAATAATTATTGTTCACCCGGTGTATATATTTAACAAAGCTGAAAGAGACTTTACAAACGTTCACTATCGTTCAATCACTTTGCTGTTAGCTAAATGAACTCCCTTGACCGAAGTTCAGGACTGACATATTTTACTTAGTTGCGGAGGTAATTATATGATGTAACTAGCATCGAAGGTTATAGTTAGCAGGACACTTCTCGAGGACAATTTTTGTCTATAACCGTATTGACCACCTTATTCGAAACACAAATCGCCTAATTCTCAAAAATCTAGTAGCAGTTTAATGTTAAAATTAATCATCACTGACCTACGAAACTTAAAGCAATTCTTTAAAAATCTATAGGACTGCGCAAGGATGCGGCTCTTCTGTACAGTGAAAGCGATAGAAGATAAAAACTATTTGTCCGAAAGAGATTTTTTCAACCTATGTCTGTATTTTGATATTTGTTCTATTTCCTTAATTAGAACCGTTTAAATTGGACATAGAGTTTGTGTTTTGATATAATTTAAAATGAGCCACTCAAACCGCTTCGTACGCTATACAGAAGAACGTAATCTAGTCTAATCCAATAAATTTTGGTTCGTTGGTTCTGAGCTCAGACCGAATATTGGCAGTTCAGTCGTTACAGACAAAATGGCATGGCTCAGCCTTGCAGGCGTGGTCCTTCTTGTGTAGCTTATCTTTTCTGTTCGTACTAACTATATTGTTCTATCTGTCCTCCATTATATGCTGGTGATGATGACGGTGATGTGACTTCTATGTATGATCTCATAGGTTAGGTAGTCACATCACGACAAATCTACAATTCTAGGATTAGGTCTATTATTAGAGCAGTACTAATAACGAAGTACACCATAATTCTACAATATGTTTTTTTTCTATTTTCATGAAGGACTGTACTACACAATATATATAAAGTTAGCTTGTATGCTCAGAAAATTTCGTAGAGTGATTTGTAATAAGGTTTTATGTAATTTTTATGTATGGCTGGAGAGGCTTTCAATAGAAAATTCTGCGTAGATCAGTACTTGGTCGGATGTCGGTCCGAGATTCACTTACGTCTACGAACCTGTGTCAAAATTCACATGTGTTTGAGAATTTGTTCTACAGTCAATGCAAAAGTTTAATAACCTAGAGATCGTGATTAAGTGAAAGCCAAGACCAGTCGGAAGTTATTGGTAATAAACTCTTTTTCCCAGTATCTACGAAGAATTTTTGAATTTTGCTTGAAAAATAAATTATTATCTGACTTGTCGTAATTGCGTACATAATTAAGATGCTACGTAAGCAAATGTTCGACAATCGTAATTGAACTGTTACTCTTCACGTATTTTTGCTCCCATAGTTCTCAATAAATTTACCTCTCGTTAAGGTTTGTCTATAATTTAGCTCACAGAAGAAGCGAGCTAGGATGTCACAACGTACGAAATCTCGGAATTGTAGGGTGAGAAGCATTTAGAACATAACCATGGATAACATCCTTATGTGTAGAAAACGCATCTCAAACGATATAAGCGTTTGAGATTTACAGGTAAATTTTTATTGAACGATTTACAATGCATAGTGTGACTTCACTAAAGAAGATATGTAGTAGGATTCTAGCATTTTAATTAGCATCATTTGTTTACTTATGAGGGAATTTACTATTCACGCAGCAGATTATACATGGAAAAGTGGGAACCAACTTACAGGAAATGAAATGTGCTAAAATCACTTACAGAGATTGACCGAAATCCTAAGTCAAGAGGTTAATATAAAGTAATTGGTCCCTTTTATAAATTTCGATAGAAGAATGAGAAGACGGAGTTGAACTGAAAAATGTGATGTATTTGCGCTATACATTCTTCAGTTTATTGAAGCCTTGGCTATTCGTAAATTAAAACCCCCTTATGTGTACAAAAACTATTTGTCGTAACCTTGAATTAACCTTAGTAATCCTTAGGTCATCCTGTGGCCTACGACAATGCGACAATTTCTTATTCTTTCTCTCCCCTTTGTTACTTTTCTAATTGAACTTTCATTTGATTGACCTTTATTAATTTTCATTTAAAAATGTCCTGACAAGTATATGTGTGACCAGACTGTTCGAAATGTATTAAGGGATTACATCATATTTTACAGATCAACTCCGTCTTCTCATTGTTCTATCGAAAGAGGTTAATATTCAAACATGACAGGGATTTCAGCCTCACCAGTAGATGATGAAACTGGTTTTACGTAGTTTTTTATGGACTCCACGTCCCCTAAGATGTAGATAAAGTTGAATATGGAAGGACTGTTTGTGTATATCATCAGTAGAGAGGTTATCAAGTGTTTTCGTGACTATGCTGTCGAATCAGACTTGTATTGGCTAAATCAAGGAGGCTATAGAAATAAACTCATAAGCAAGGGGGAATAGTTACACATAAACAGGAGCTGAGGAAATTACTTTCAAAAGCACAAATGCATGGTGAATCACAAAGTATTAACGCATATTTAGAAAAGAATATTACTTGAGGGAGAACGTGTGTATCAAAGTGTTAAACTCCATGGTCAATTTCCGTGATCGGTGAAAAAAGCACAGAAAACGCAACCATCATTACAAAATTCAATGGAACTATACAATTGGTGTGTACTCACCAGTAGTACAATGTAGAAAACATTAAACAGAATTCGGCATTTTATTAGGATTACAAAACGTATAGCATTCGCTTGTCAATGAAGATTTTTAAAAGTTCTTTGAAGAATCATCTTTGTAAATTTCTATTGAACATTGAATGTGGTATTCCATATAACTACCTACTTTAGTTTAGAACCAAAGGTCTACAAAATACCCTCCAGAACGTCAAAGCGTACTTAGCTCATCTTTTTCTTGTTAAGTGTATGATTTTCCCTTTCACTCAATGCTTTTTATAATGACTCTATCTTTTAACCATAAAAAACAGTGGGTGAGGCTTGGGGAACTCTAAAAATAGACGGCAAAAACATCAGGCAAAACTCCGTGATTTGATGTTCCATTGTCGAATAGCGCCTCAGAAATTCGTTGAACAGCTTTTGGTAAATAGCGGTGAGACAAATATTGTATATGTTCAGGGAAGGGCATCATTCCGGCTAAGCTGTGCCACTTTTAAAAGGGACGAAACTTAGAGAAATATAACCCTCTTATAATAATAGTAACTTTGGATTCAACACACGTTACAGAGAATATTTTACTGACCACTCAGAGACTGTCAATTGGGTAATCCTGTGAAATTCGAGTTGTAAATGATAGGCGGTGGCCCGTGACAGATGCAGCCAGGCGATCACAAAATACTCAAGAGACAATCAGCATGAGAGCTCATGGAGTGTCTTGGCTGATAGGTGGTAGTCGGTATGAAACTTGTAAACACGATTTCCAATAGCGGCGTTGATTGTAATGAACAGTTAATTAATTATTTAATATAAAATTACAGAATACCTCCGTCAAATATAAAACATATACATGACATATTTCATTTGCAAGTCTTCCATTAACTGTACTTTCAATTCTGTATGATTCTTCCAATGCACAATTCATTTTCATTTTCTTCAACGCGAACTTCTTGGCCCTCTGCTTCCATGCATTCCTCTGCTGATTGGCGTTACATACTACTTATGTCGAAAGACATAAGCACCATTTACCACATAAATACCGCATACCTATAAGCGTAAGAAACCGGGAGAACTTAAGTGAGTCCTGGCACAGCACGGAGAATAACCTTAACAGCTGCATCTGCAAGGTAACAGCAGAAAGGATCACACGTCTTGGTGTCAGTTGAAATTATTAACAACCTATGGTACAGGACACAGATACCACTGCTATACTAACAGAAAACCTACAAAAGTCAGTTCGAACAGAACTTCTTAACACACTATTAACATCAATCAGTTTAAAACACAGAGGACAAATGCTGCGGCAGAAGAGCACCAAACTTTCAGCTGCATTGATAGCTGCGTTAGAGGACTACGGGATAAACTAGATAGATTCTAAGCCAGAGAGCAAACACCCGTGTTCACTGCCACTCTCCCTCATTGAGTTCTTTCTCATATGCAATCCTGTTTCAACTGAAATAACGACGGCTATTTCAGTAGATAGATTTAAAACGTCTCCTGACAAACAAGAACTCACATATGGATTACCCTCTCCATCTTGGACTAGTATTTTCTGATGCATGTCACACAGTTTACCACAGCCATCGTTATCACATATCAATGACTATTTTCCAATTCTCTTATCATCATCTATGTTCCCCCTCTCATCCTTTCTATTTTGTCTTATTACAAATTATCAATTAGTTAGTTTATTATTCCTCAAACAATCAGTTTCTTCTAGCATTAGAATTATCACTCTATTATTACCACAGTGGAATCAACCAACTTTCTGATTAGTATTGTGGTAACTGCGGGTATCCCGAAATTTTACTGCTCTGAGATAAACAAACTCTAATCACAAGACATACAAATCCATAAATAAATGCCAAACTGACTAGAATTAGTGCAGTCGAGTAGCTAAACCACGACCGATCGGACACTGACAAATACTTGTAACTATTCCGAAACAAAAAAGCAAGCACAAAAAATTGTTAGTTTATATTAGCTCGTGACGAGGTATTGGATATTGAATTTATTTTAGCGCTTCAAAGTATATTTCTTAGGTCATGCGTTCAATCAAAGTGTTACTTTAGTTTCCGAAAATAAAACAATGAATCCCAACTCCATAGATTATGGCACCTCGGTGGAACCAAGGTATCAGTGGGGTTTGATTCAGGCTTCATTGTTATCCTCATGCTTTGTGTCGATGACTATGTTTTCGAAGTATCCTCTAGATCAATACCTTGGTTCCGGTTGGTCATGCCTATGCTTTATTATGTTTCATACGATCTATAGTTTTCCGGTAACATATCTGCAATTCAGGCTTTTTAGCCGTTATCGTGAGGGCATATTGGTACTTTTTGACAGATATGTTCCTATATTTAATGGTAAGTTTCTCGAATAACGTATTTACTATTATCAGTCTTTTCAGTCATCGTCATCTTAGCTAACTTCATTAAATTTATCATTGGGGCCTACTATCTTGCTATATCCTTTGGATATCTGTTTTTCACATTTTATAATTGTGATGGCAGGAACTGCATCGGTGGAACATATATATGGGGGTCATGCTCGGATTCCTGGAGCGAAGGTGATTGCAAGGAGTAAGAATTGAATTTACGCTTTTATAAATGTATTTAGCAACTACAGAACAGTACATGCAGGTCCAGTACCAGAGGAGAAATTTATACTGTAAGTACTTTGGTTCTATCAAACAGAGACTTTTGGTAGATTTTAGACATTGAGCATGATAATGGCCGACCTTGTTACGCTGTTACTCATCGTTTTACGGTCGTCAGCTTAGCCACATGATATAAGGCAACGATGGACACTAGGAAGACTTTTCTGTATTAAGTATTTGCAATACGAAAATGACTTTAAAAATACACACTAGAAGACCCGAAAATTTGAAGTCGTTCAAACTACATGTGTATATAATCATGAGAAGAACAAAGTGAAACGGTAATTAAGAGTCTGAATTATGAAACGTTCCAATCATTTGTTTGATACAGATGTAAAAGATGAAGGTATATATAGATATAATTAAGTTTAAACACGACATAACACCCATTTAGTAGAATTTAAGGGTGGCAGAGTAGTTATAGCTGTAAACGAATTCCCAACGTCAGTAGCTCTGTAAATCTTCGAAATTTGATGCCGACCACACTAACTTTAATGGACTCACCTAGCTGAAGGCGCTCGGTCACACATCCACATAAGATCTTGAGTGGGAACGTTGTGCTCATTTTGTCCTGCAACCGCTAGCCAGTTTAGATCAGTCACTTCTCGATATATTAGTAATCTATCAAATATATCTTCGAACATCTTCGCCTCTGACCATTGATTTTACTGAGTGGGCATGTTTTAATTATAGAAGTTGTTACTTGTTAGGGTGTTGTCGAATTCCAAATACTTGTGGCATCTTCATAATTTGTCCTTTTACACTGTGGCGTAACCGATATTTTGTCAGATATTTTAATGATTTTTCTTCAAACTAACGACGGCTATTTTTTTCACATAAACTAATGAATATTTCTGGTTTCTTGGAAAGCCTTAATATACTGGTGGTTACTTCATCTTAAATGTAAGGGATGATTGTTAAAAATTAGGTACTAAAAGCTTGTACATGAGGTACCTGGAAAAAAGAGATGAATTTAAAAAATACCTGTTACCCGCTATTTTTCTTTATATATGTCTAAGTGGTGATTTTTACTTTATCGAAACAATATCAGTTAGCACCGGTGAGTAAGAGGAGCTACCTTGAAAACGTCGTCTTGATTTAATAAATATGTCTTTTATATCATTGGTTTGCAAAAAATTAGGTGTTCTTTTGGGTAAAATGTGACGACTAAAAGTAATCAATTTATTATGTGAACTAGGAATTCTCAAAATAGTACAATTTACTGCAAATAGAACTAGATGAGCATAAATGAACATATTGCGTTTAGAATTCAAAATCAGGTAGTCATGAAGTACATAAGATTCATTAGTTTATACAAACGCTACATAAAGGCAACCGATGTTGTTGTCGTTATCTAATACTGAAGTAAGATATTTGGCTTCCAAAAATTTACCGAGAGTTCAGAAGTATTCTCGTAAGTCTGTTCTCTTGTTCAACTGCTAAATTATGACTTTTTGAGTACTGGCAAATAAAATCTAAGCGGGATGCAAAATGAAATGCAAATTTACCAAAACTTTATTACATTGCTCAATATATCTTTAAGTTTTTGTTTTATCTGACTAATTAGTGAACTTTACGGGTTTTTTCATAGAGTCACACATAGAAACGTAATTTCCAACTTAATGAGCAAATACGTAGTTTTTAAGCTGTTTTCTAATGAAATCTGTACTAATTGCTTGATAGAATTTAAATGGAGGATATATGCCTTACTATGTATTAAACTAGTATGTTTTTTCTAGAACTTTTCAAACACCACCGTTGAGCATTATAACAATATGCATAATTCTGAGTATCTCATGGGTTATGCAACAACATTTTTTCAATTTCTCATAACAAACTTCTTACAAATTGTAGTAGCTTCCAGAACCCCTCTCTCACAATACATATGTTAAGTAATAACGGCACTAACACTCGGTAATATTACTTACAAATGTGTAAGAATAATGATTCTGTGCAGTTGACTAATCTAATTTGTAGTTACCAAAGTCATATAAACGAAGTTTATTCTATTCTTGACATTTTTTAAATAGTTATTTTGGGTTTAATGTGTCGCTATTTCCAATCAAACCGGTGTTCATACCCTAAGTATTAACTTATTTAGCTTGTGAGTTGATAAATGTTAACTTTAAGTATGATAGAAATTTTAGTGGATGTTTCTAAAAAGAACCTAGAGGAACAATATCATAATATGTCAGTCGTTTGTTTTTTATTAAGTTTTAAATCGGCTCACCAGACGTTTTTATAAAATTGTGAAATGTAAACTACCTGTGAAGATTGTGAACTTGAATAAAAAGTTCAGTGATCAAGTCGGGTTTTGTGGAACACTTTACTTTCGTTTCTCCTGAAGCATAATGTGGTAAATGGTCAAATAAGTATACGCAGTCTATGATTAGATAAAATATCAATAGTCGGATTAATTGCCAAGAGAAGTATGTATTAAATCGGTTTTCTCCAAATCAGTTTAAAATCACAGTTAGTATATAGTTTGTCAAAGCAGTTGAGAGTTTACTGTGGTATGTAGTTATATTTTTAAAGCTAAAAACTCACAATAATGCCAGTATTTCTATTTATCATGGGTACGGTTTCTCAAGTGTTCTTTCTAATTTTGAACTCAGATGAAACCAAACGAGTTTAAGATGATTACAGTCATGTTAAAGAGAAACAAAATAGAAGTAAAATTGTAGCATTTTACATAACGGAGCATCTCGTACGTAATGACGATTAAAAACATGGAAACAATAAACAAATACCTGATCATAATGTGAGATTCCTTGTCAGTAAAGGTTTGCGATCACACTGGGGGTCGAATTCAAGACCTTTAGAATTTGCAGCGAGCGCTTAACATTTAGATGTCTGAGTCAAAGTCCAACTGTACTATAATCTATAAAGTGTATTAGATGATTGTTAACATCATAATTATCAATAAAACGAGCCAGTTACTTTGTACATTTCATTCATCAACTTAAAAACACGGTTGTAAAGGTTAAATAATGACACCAAACTTTGTCAACATGAGAAGTGTAAAATCTCAATCTTTTTCGAAATGTATTCTTCCGTATTGCACATTAGCGGTTATATTTTAGTTACTCATGAAATTATGGTGGTATTCACTTAATGTTCAGCAAAATCAAGTCCGATTTATCTAAAAAGCTAATTAAAATAGTACCTCAACAAGTTTTTCATTCATCAATTTTTACTGCATATCAATGAGATTGAGGTCAATCATACAAATCAAGGTTATGGATTAAAATCTATTTCGATGATAAAGTTTATAAAAATCATCCTTTTATCAATTTAATACTAGATTTTGATTAATTAATGAACTTACTTACATCCAAATGTTTTTATTTTTTATGTTAGTAATTTCGTACTCATGAGAAGTGATAGTATTCTATCTGGATGGGAAATTACTTCCTGGTTTACGATTCGTGGTCTGATTCTAATTCCTTATTTAGGAGCATTTATTTCTATTTTTTTCATAACTGTTGGTGGTCCAAAGGTGTTCGGTATGGTGAGCTATAACTTATTTGCTGAATCTATTAAATTGATTTAATTTTATTTTTACACTGCAATCCTTAAGAATTGTAAGGGATTGCATTTTTTGCTGTTGATATTCAAAAATTATTTGATTAGCCTAGATTATTTAAAAAATCGATAAAACGGACATATTATTGAGATGATATTAATTGATGGGTATTATGATATCTAGTGAAAATTGCCTTGATACTTAGAGCTATGATTACTGGATTCAAGACTCAGTGTAATGCAGCGATTTCCAACCAATTAATATCAAGATGTATGAAGTGTGAGTCACGAACTTCACTATTTGTCATCATTCAAAACAAATATAAAACTTGAATTTCTTTGTCGCACAGTTTGAACTGAATAGAGTTATTTACAACAATATATTACAGAGAAATTTCTGGGAGACTCTAAAAATTAGGAGTCTTACAGCTTTGTGCCATATATCTAACTTGTGTGATATCCAACTATGAGGGTTCCGGCAAAAGGTGCACACCAATAATATTGAGACGGAATAAGGATGACCATCAAACAGGTGCGTATTAATAAATGAGAGCATCGAAAGAGAGATAAAATTTTTAAGCGTGTAAAATCTGTTCGATTGACCTTCTATCCATTTGCCTCTACAACCAATAAAAAATGTAGTATTTTAAATATCTAATGACGAGTTTGCTTTCGAAAAATACGATAGATTTCCTAACTTGATAACAATATGTTGGTTGTATCACACCAGTTACATTATCTCATGTCTATTTCGAACAGCAAGGAGATAATCTTTGTAGAGGGATATTTGTGTATTTTGAATTTCCAATAGAATAAGAGTTCATTAAACAATTTCAGATGGCCGGAAATACGAAGGTAGTAGACTGATTTACGGCTAGGTAATTTTAGTGAAAATGTGGTTGTATATAGAGTAAATTTGCATCTCTTTGGTCTAAAATAAAATATTTAATTGGAGTTCAAAATAAGATAGCTGTACATAAAGTCAACGAATTACACAAACTTTGTTACACCTCATTGGATTGAAACTTGAGTATATGATGAGCAACAAGGTCACAAACATTTTAGTGGTGAATGGCCACACTCTCTGGAAAGAGGTAGTAGTTAACAAGAAGAATATTTTGAAATATACATAATAGTTTACGACGAAGTGTAGGTCGCTCTGTCATACAATGTAGGTAATTATTACAAAACAACCGACAAAACACAATCATATTCCAAATGAAGCTAAAATAGATGAAAAAAAGGCACTCGACGATATGAACGGTCGAGAAACTTCTCTGGAAGAAGTTGCACATCAAATAGTGACTACGTAGACTTCTGATTATTTTATTCCAGGAGCAGCCGGAATTTCAGTTTCTAAACTGATGAAATGCATCATTCAATGCAAATGACATGAAAATCAGATGCACTTACCAAATCTGAGTCTATTCAACGTACTAAATTTACTCCCTGCATTCAAGACAAATGTAAGCAGGGCGGAATTTGTACTGAATAATAGTGGAACAGATGGAAAAAGAATTTTAATATTGTGTCCAGCTGGAAATCTAAAATTAATATAGTAGTGTCTTCATTGATATTTACAACAGCTTGCAAGTGATGCTTTTGCACACATAATCCAGGTTCAAAATGATGAATTTGAAACGCCTCTGCAGAAAACTCGTGTATAATGTACTGTAGTAATGTAATTGGATTTGTAGTTTAAACTAACCAATTTAAATAAACTGTTTAAATGCTTTTGCTTCTCGAACGCAAATCTGAGTGTTGTTTGAACTGGAATTACCGATAATCTAACTTACACTTATACTTATTAATCAGATGTTACTCAATAATAATGATTACACTAAATTTGTCTAGTAATCTCCGCTTATTCATATTATCAATATTAAATAAAACCTAATCGTTTGATTCTTACTACCACAGACGTCAATAATCGACAGAATAAAAGTCCTTTGAAGTTTGTTATAGAGGACAAAAGATTTAAGTACACCGAAGATCTTTCTTAAAACATTATCTCCTTGCTGTTCGAAATAGACATGAGATAATGTAACTGGTGTGATACAACCAACACATTGTTATCAAGTTAGGAAATCTATCGTATTTTTCGAAAGCAAACTCGTCATTAGATATTTAAAATACTACATTTTTTATTGGTTGTAGAGGCAAATGGATAGAAGGTCAATCGAACAGATTTTACACGCTTAAAAATTTTATCTCTCTTTCGATGCTCGCCTTTATTAATACGCACCTGTTTGATGGTCATCCTTATTCCGTCTCAATATTATTGGTGTGCACCTTTTGCCAGAGCCCTCACAATAAATATCAACTGGTTTTAAATGCAACATAAGTTTTCTTTATAAGTAACACACCTCGAAACATAAAGATCCCCGGTCTCACAACATCGCTAAAGAGTCCTAAAATTGGATGACACGGCTGTTAGTTTCTCTCTGATATTCAATAGGTAAAAATATTATTCCTTTGTTGAAACTAACTTGAGTTTTAATTAATCTTCACAAACTTTTCAATCAAACTATTTCCCTTAAAGATAAATTTTTTCAAAAATACTGAAGTTATGAAAATACCTGTTTGATATTATTTCAGCACAAACTCTTTATGTTTTTGTCTATATGTATTAAAACTTACATATTGTTATAAAGGCTGTCAATCTATAAGCAGACATGTTCTTTTCATCTATATCTATCGGTGAAGGTGTAGCAGTATTTTATGTGCGCAATCATAATAAACAAATAACAAATTAGCTTGTTTCATGTAAAATACAAATGCATATATATATATATATATATATATATATATATATATATATATATATATATATATATATATATATATACAAATATGCTTATTTGTATCGACAAATTTAAACCGTTTTGTTTAAATGGTGTCTGTAACATTATGCCAACTATATTGTTGAGTAAGAACATTGTTTGTGAGCCTGTCCAAGTTATCTAAAAATAGGTTATTAATATTCTGATAAAATGAATTATCAATAATATGTTCTGAAAAGTATATTGTACAAAAGTTTCCAAACAAAGAATGAGTAAATTTTATTTCAATGATTTCATGAGTATCCAAGAATAAGGCACTCTTAATCTAGTTCTTATACTTACTACCTTTTGGAACAATTCAACTGACATACACGGACTAGTGTCCCTTTCATCAATAATTTATGTTCTACTCATTAGGTAAGAAATGGCTTGTATGGGGGACAAATATGTGACCTAAAGGTCCTTTATTTGATACCTGGTATGATCATCTATCCTGATTGATGAGCGGTCTCATACTAGAACCAAATAACTGTCCATTGCTTCTTAGTTTCAAATGTTTGTTTTATTTCTTCTATCGGGAAGGCGATAAGTCTCAAGACGAAACTAACGTCTGACTCTTCTTCGTCTTCCTATAAATCATTCTTGATAGGTATTAAGTTTCTAACTTCAAACTTTATTATTATTCTTGCTAATGTTATTTGTTTGAATAAACAATGTCTGGGACAGTTCAAACTTAAATTAATAAGTGGATTATTATAAAACATGAGACTTGCAAACATTCATAAAAGATGATGTCATGAACGCCTGTTCATACGATGACTAACTAACTTTCTCATTTACATATATTTATTTCCCCTCAATGAATTTACTTAAGTCTCGACATTTGAATAAGTGTTTTAATATTCTATACGTATGTATGCATGTTTGTATGTGTGAGTGAGTAAGTGTTATGTATTCCAACCAGGTCCACCCCTAAATAACCATTATTATCCAGATTCGCATTTTTCGTTAAGGTACTAGATTTCATGTGCTTGTAACATTTTGTGTCATTTATATAACATTCATTCATCTGTTTTCTTCTCTTTGTTTAGTTACTCTATATATTATCACCATTGGCTGTATGTTTATTAAGTGGAGTACTTATTACAATACGCGTAAAATATGCTAATTCAACTAATCAGTTATCTGATTATTATACCAAATTTTATCGACTGTTTTTTACATCCGTACCGAATAATCCTGATGGTGTGGATACATTTCAAGTTCAACCATTAGTTTGGGTAAGTTTCGTTTTTGAATTTCATAAATACTGACTTATATATTTTAATCACATAAGAAACATATCAGCTGAAGAACCAATGAGAATCAGTGAGCAGTTGTCTTGTTTACTTCAAAACTTCCCAACAGTGTGTAATATAAAAATTTCGTGTTTTAAAACGGTAGACACGTTTTGTAGCTCAGGTGGATGCTTTAAGTAACAAGATGTTCTCTAAGTAGAATGATTGTATTGTATGAATTTCATTGTCATTAAGGACGCTTCTAGTGGAATTAGGTATTTTGAAATGATTTCACCAACAATTACAAACGAGTTCATCAGAAACCATTGATTTAAGGTCGATAGAATAGTTTTCATAAGCTCACTTCTGACTATAGTAATAGTTGGTGATATTGTTCAGAGTGATAATGAAAGCTCTATAATTAAATTATTCAGCTCATAGAACTTAACCCTATTCATCATTTCCTGTTTCAAAGTCACTTTGATTGTTCAACTGAATATAGTTCATGATGAAAACTAACTTGACATTGAACAATCTTCACGAACCAATTTTTCAATAGTTCACTCAATAAATTCCCAGAACCATTGATGGAAATCTATCAGAATGGTTCTTATGTTCACCCAGTCTTCTCATTTAACCGATAACATTAATCCAACCAAGTTACTAAGGTCATCATGAATACTCAAATTTGTACAAATATATATATATATATATATATATATATATATATATATAATGACAATTCAACAGCATATGAATAGAAATCAAACAAATAAAATCACTACACAGAAACAAACATTTTTCTGTTAAATAGTAACTAAGTGAACTTATTTAAAAAATCTTTTATTTATTCATTGAAAGAAATCAAATTGAAATAAATGAATATTAGATTCATTTAAGAAATTCATTCGAGAAGAATAAAGTATAATTAATAAGTGTTTATGAGAAAATAATCATTTTGTTCTACCCTCTGTATCACGTACAATAAACATTTAAACAAATAAATTTAAATTGTTTTCAATGGAAATAAATGTATGTATATTTGTTTGAATGTAAATAAATTACTCACAAGTGCTGAATACAGACATTGTTAATATTGTATTTACTTAGAATAGTTGATAAATAATATGCATATATAAATGATTTAAAGAAAATTGGCTATTTGTTGAATGAGTTATCATATCTATTTTTTGTGATATAACTATATGAAAGTGTGATACTTATGTTAGATTAAAACCATCACAGGGATGTATTGTAATGTTACTATGTTATAGACGTGGAATTACTGATAATGATATGCATGCTTTTTTGATAGAGGACAAAGACAATTGACCTTCTCGTGTTGTATTTCACTGTACATTCATTGAAAATATATTCACTTAAAATTCTTTTATATTCTGTTCGACAAATTAAAACAACAGGCATTTGACATATACTGAACATTGTAAATCGATATTTACATATAAGCGTTAATGGAAACTTAGATATCTGACAAAATAAAGACCAGGTACTGTAATTCATAGAAATCTTGCATAGTGTCTATCATAAAAGAGGAATATTGTATGCATGTTTGTGTAATTGTGTGACTGGATAATAATTAATTATTAAAACCTACTTATCAACACAATGTAACTAAATGAACAAATATTGTGAAATAGAATTACTGACCAGAAAATAATATACTTGCATATGATTAAGCAGATAAGTGAGTATGATTCAAATTTATCTAAACACAAAATTAATTTCAGTAGTTGAGTCAATTGAAGCTGGACCACCACAAAACTCCTTCTGATACTAATCAGCATATTCTCACCAGTCACTGGCTTCAAGAGGTATTTCCTGGAGTTCTAGTGAGAAGCAGCGACCAGTGGAGCTCAACAGGGCCTGTTGTGAGATAGTAACTTACTGAAGACAGTGGTGGATGGGTCGCTCAATTTCGTGGATTAGTTGAAGTTAGACATTAACACCGTTGGATGCCGGCCAGCTCAGTGGTCTAGTGGTAAAGCGCTCGCACTCAAGACTGATAGGTCCAGGATTCGAATCTCGCGGGGGGCGGGATCGTGGATGCGCACTGCTGAGAATTCTCACAATAGGACGAAACGGCTGTCCAGTGCTTCCAGGTTTTCCAAGGTGGTCCAGCTTCAATTGACTCACCATCTCAACTATTGAAATTACTATAATATCCACAAAACCCATTCTGATACAAAATTAATTGTTAATGTATTAATTTGATAGAACAATACTTGATCAATCACTGTAAGCCTAATTCTAACTTAACATATCAATTTCTTAAAGTTATATTTTCATTCTTTTTAAATCAATGAAAAACTGATCAGAATAATTGAGAACTGAAATAAATTGTGACTAATATGAGAAATAGGATAGTAAGTGTTAAATTTCTATATTGGAACTATAAAATATGTAATGATAGATTCATTTTGTAGTTGGATGTATAGTAAATTACATGAAATTTTGAAATGATTTCTGTATACATAACTCTATAATTTACTATTTTTGACTGTCAGTCGCTTAATAAAATAAAGATAATTTAAATCTAATTTTTAATACAAATGATGTACATTGTAGTGTCGGTTACTATGTTAAGCCCATATACCTTATTCTGCCTTTTGAACAGGCCAATCTATTCATCCTACTTGAGTCATATTTTGAGCTTGACTGTTTTTATCTGAGCGCATTTATGTGTATACATTTCTTATTCTATTCATCACATGTCTGTAACTTATTTTTGTGTGCCTATAAATATTGATTAACACTCGACTAAATGGAGTCGGCTTACCCGCCATCTCCACTGCGCGTCGTTTCACTTCGCTCTATCCCATTCGCTTCATATATAAAATATATGTATCCAAAAGTCCATTTTCGTTATTTGGCTTATTTAGTTCCATTATTGATTAACGTGATTTAAGTCGATGATTATATACGAGGATAGGTGACATATATTATTTCAATAACAATCATCCATACGATCAAATTGGAGTCAGATCCCGGGCCACCAAAGTGGAAATCCCGTCAACAAACATCGTCCGATCTCAATGATGATAAAATAAAGAGCCCAAAAAAAAACAGTTTACATTCAACCACGTAATTCATAGACAGAAGGATAGCATAGCAATAGGATCCCCTCTTAGTCCATTACTAGTAGATTGCTTCATGACCAGTTTAGAAAACAACCAACTCAAAATGACTATAAAAAAATCAAATAAATATTTTAATCTTAATACTAAGGTTTCACTAATGTCTAAAGGATTCTTATGTAAAAGATATAAAATACACTATTTCTGTAAATAATTTTTGAAATATGAACTTATGTCTGGTAGTTGCTAAATGAATATCAAAATGGAATATCAGAAAAGAAAGAAATTTTTATTCTACTTAGCTTCATATTGTCTTCTTAATCCGACTACTGATTCATGAATATGGTTAAAATAAGCTCTATTTTTAAGTCATATCATTGTGTATCTTAAGTTTACTTTTTTCTCTAGAAAAGACTAAATCAACTGCATAAAATCAGCTCTTTCTATATCCAGCTCCAATTATTATTATTCATAAGTTTTAAAACAGCAAATACAAAATGATCAATAAATTAATTACGGAAAAACTCGTCAATTCCCGTCACATAATCTCACCAAAATGATCTACGCAGTCAATCGATTGCATTTAAAGGAAGTATGAATCAAAAACCTGTTCATTTCATAGGCTTTAACAACTTGGCGATTTAAACCTAAGCTCTGTGTAAAAAAAGACAACTCATGTAGTCTTTCATTTTATTATGATCTTAGTTGTCAACATCCTCCACTGAATTTTCAATATCTATTAATTACTTGTTTTCATTATATCTATATTTTTCATTTCACCTTCACCTAGCTTCGTGAGTTACTTATAAGTAATCGATCTGTGTGTAAGTAATTATAATAGTTCAAAATGTATTGGTAAAGTTTCGTGTTTGATAGAAATTGTACTCGTGATCTCTACGTTGACAATTATTCAAGCTACAAGGTAAAAATTCTTCAACCTAAAAAAAATTTGAGGCAGAAGTGAATAGGTCATAACGTTGCAACTTTCTCTAAAGAAGAATAGTTGACGTACTCAATTTGCGAAAACTCAATTACATATTGATTCTTAACTTGTAATATGTATCTGCATGCATATTTCTTATATAAATCAAAATTTTATTGCTAACAGTCTAAAATTTGTTTTGCTTGCTTGTTTTTGTTTATTTTCAGGGATTTCTCTCCACATTTGTACATTTATCCCAATCATATAATCTATGGAATGGAGTATACCCTACCATTGGTAAATTGGTCAGTGGTGGACGTAAAATGCGACATTTGTAGGTTGTTCAAAACTCAGGATATATATATATAACTTTTCGCTAATGTGAATTTCTGCCTATCTTACATTAACTGATGAGCGTTAGAAAGGTATCAAACAAAGTCAGTGTGTCAGTCCGTTTTGATTTTTGTCAAGAGTGATCATGTACGACATCATTTTAAGCAACTTATCGTATACAATTACATTTTTCAGCAAACGAAGGTTATATGCTCATCTTTCATATATAAAGTTATACAGATTTGAGAGAAGGCTTTTACATTACGTTTAATGTTTTTACATTCAAAATAATTATTCATATGCATTTTTATATCTTTCATGATGAGAAAAAACGCAGTAAGCAAGTTTATCAGGTTTCGATCATTTTTTTTACTTACCCACTTTCATATTTCTTCTCTAATACATTTGAAATTCGCTTATTAAGAAACTTTAATCATTAGTTTTACGTAACTTTACTATGTTTTTTTTAAGTTTTGATCTACTTTGGATATGAAACCATTTATTTTATTTGTCATTGTGTTTTAATGATTTTTCCGATTCCAATTACTGTTATATCATTATTTGTATGGGTTCGAATATATTAAGCTAATTAACAAAAGGTGCACATACACTAACAAAAACAGGCCAAACTTCTTTGATATATCAGTGCAAAAATCTACACTGGGATGGAGGTATATTTAGCCGACGGTTTCAAAATATGACATAAAGCGTGTCGTTGACTTCACTGTTAACTACATTTCGTATATTCTGTTATTTTTATTACATCTACCACAACACTATCAGGTTTTATTAATGATGATTTAAAGTATAACATACATCGTTTTTATTATGACCATAAAAACTTAATTAATCAATCTTGTGTGTTACAAGTATAAATACATGTAACGGTAAAACCTGTGATGTTACCTAACTATATGTCTTGTTATGAACTACATAACTGCAAGTTCTTAATATTCCACTGATCTCATTATAAGATCATAACGACCTATCCGAAGAAAAATTGTATTTTTAAAATCATAGTTTTGGTTCTTTCGAAAAATGTTGTCTCAACCTAACTGTTTCATAAGTAAAAGAGATGCTTTTTCTGAATTCTGTCCTCTATTAAATTTGACTAATCACTCAGGTGTAGGTTGGCACAATATTTTACAAATTTTCTGTTTTCTGTAGGTTTTTGTTGTAATACATAAGCTACTGATTAGTATAAACGTAATATATATCTAATAGCTTAAAAATGTGTTAAACTTTTCAACTAATTTCCAGAGGTTGGATTCCTGTGGTGATAGGATCAGCTTTACTTGGACAATTACCAGTACTAATTATGCTCTACGCTACAGCTTCATCATATGATCCACAATATACTCGATGTCACTTAAGTGTTGATTGGTTAGCACCATTTATAATTATGCCACATATTTTCTCGAAATTTTCAAGCCCTCGACTTTTGGTTGCTTCATATTTTCTTGGGCTTTCATTATTTATCTTGTTAAATCAAGTAAGTTCCTTCTGTTGTATAGACTTTTCAAAAACAGTTTACCTTTATGCTAAAATGATTTCGAACTCTGTGTAGAATAGCACAAACTCCAGATACTCACCATCGAAGTCGAATTTTATTCATCGATTCATTATAAGTTAATCTGAAAATGATGCTATTGACTGCAGTTTTTGTCTAGATATCTCTTGATTTTAATGATTTGATGAAAAGTGATAATACTTATTTGATAACTAATAATTTGATATCAAACATGATCTTTGGCGGATTCCGTATTGCTTCACGTATATTTTTTGACTAAATTAAAACAAAGTGGTCGTTCTTTGGAGGCCATTTTTTCAAGCCAGCGTTATTTATTGTACCCAGTTTTCGCCACCTTTACTGAAATTGATATTACACTCATGAGTTGTCTTACCTGGAAGCAAAAATGGTCATTAGTCGTGATATTATAGTAGATTTAGGTTTTATTCCTGATAACCCAACATAGGAGTTGAAAATCATGTGTACATCTTCATACAAACCAACAGTACACATCAAATGTCAGATATCAGTAGTACAGTGGGAAAACCATATTATTTGACTGAAAACTGGCAAATATCTTTAACCATACAATTCGTTAGTAAACAATTATATCTTTCAACAGAATATTTGAAAGTTATGTTCCCTTTACTTCTAATTTGGGTCCGTGATCCTGCGTAATCGACCGAATCATCCATGACATAGAATAAGAACGTGCTATATATTGAATTAACTGAAGCATAAAATAAAACCTCTTCATCCTATTTACTGATTCATCATAATGTTGTTGCACATAGTTCATATAATTTTCGTTTTATATTCTCAACAATGAAATATTGCAAATGAAAAGTATTTGAACATCTTCATCTTATCTTGACTGAATGAAATGTGAAATAACGTACAACTGTATTACTTGCTACATTAGACCTTGTGTTTGATATGCTTAGCATTCAAAATTGATTAATGACCTTTGTAAAGTTCATTTTGTTTTAGAGATATTTACTGGTAAAAAACTGGCTTTGTAAACTTACACATGTTTATAATCAGGGCAGTTTTAATCACATGGTGTGCACAATACATTGAGAAACTGAGTCAGAAGATAGTGGCCTGTATTTTTCAAAAAATCATTTAGTATGCAAGTTTTAACACAAGTTAATGTTTAACTTTTAGTTACTAATAGTTTCTTGCAAGAACTTTCAGGAAACCCTATTCGCGAAGTTGACCACTAGTGAACTCACAACTGTGTGTTCAAAATCCACACAATAGTTCTCCATAGAACCACTCGTCAATTATTTTGATAGTTATTAGAAATTGGTTGATTAGTGATTAGCGATTAACTTCATATTTACCTACTTCTTAGTGCTAGTCCAACTATATTATTCAAGTTGAAATGCGAACAATCTAAGTGATCTAACACTGTATGCTACGTTGTGATACTAGATTGTCGGAGGTAGTTAACATATCGAGTCACTTAGACTAGTGGCCACATTACAACTTGATTGATATGATTTATTTATCACTAAAGACTAGATAAACATGATTTTGTTCAATATAAAGTCATCAATCATTGTAAATATCTCAGTGCTGCAGGAGTTACGTTCTAGTACCAATAACCCAGTGTTTACCACTCAGACTGGGAAGCTGGGTGCTCTGGTTCGGACCCAAGCAGAAAACGTCAGTTCCCTCAAGCTCACGAGTATACCTTACATACGAATGTCAGATGATGTGAAATCCGGTTTCGAAATTTCCTGTTCATAACCTGTATCCATCTAGAATAACGATCATTTATTATGTTGTTGTTTTCACTGAAGGCATTAATATTATTAAGTACTACAGAACATATTGTTGGTCATTTGGTTACTAATAATGAAAAATACGAAGATCAATATAAACGCATATATCGATGCTCAATCATATTAATTATTCTGTTACTTGGGTTGCTTGGTGTACCATTAATTACTCAGGTAAGACTCCTGTGATTTTTTCGCCTGTCATCAAAATTAGATTAATTTTGTTCTGATACTTTCATTTGAATTATTTTACATGATTATTATTATTATCCAGGTTGGATTTCTTTTCATTCAAATATTATGTGTTGTGTGATATTACTGATTTATTATGTAAATGATATAACTTCTCATCTGACTAATTTATTGACTAGAATATTAAATTCTCGGAGCCATTTCGAGCAAAGATCGTGAATAATTTCGTTAAGATACCTTCACAAAGATACAATTATTAACTCCCATACTATGTCAATATGGAAAATTGAGGGTTATAAAGATGTGTATACTTATTCACAGTTGATTATCCTGGTTAGATTGAATGTGACTAGTTAACCGAATGAACCATCTTCTAAAATAAATTTTTCCAACTGGACATTTAACAGCTGAGTTATGATCTATTGACATTAGTTATCATAGTCACTTTAATTGTCGTATTTTGTTTTATCGTGTTTGATTGTTTGTTAAACGTGTTTACATTAAATTTAATAACTGTAGGATTTATAAGTTAGCATTGTATTTCTGGAATTGTGGTTTATTCTCTTTTATGAATTCATTCCTGATTACTGGTATACCGGAATGATTTCAAATCAATGAGCATCCAACTTAGATAACGAAATAAGTAACTTTCATTATTGGATCATAAAACTAAATCACCAGGCGTTTAATTACATTCTCTCTAAGTAAAACACATATTAGCATATCGCAGTTATCATCATTCATTAAATTACAAATTATTAGTGTTTAATTCTTATGTTACGCAGTAACACAGTGGATATCACACATTTTATGTACAGGATAGCTACACTTTCAGAGTGTTAAAACAGATGTTAATGAAGTGAGGGTCAAAGTTGTAACCTAGTGGTTGAGAGTCGAGTATTTTGGTTAATAATTCGTTACTACTGTTTAATCTTCACAAGATGAACTTGGTTTATATTGTGTAGGAAAAATTACAAATCAGAAAAAAAGTTAGTCTGAAAAGTATAAATATATGATCACGTCCACAAAAACATAACATTTTAACATCAATGATCATTGAATACCTTGGAATTCCTTTAAATAATCCACTATGACTGAAAAGCAAGGTTACACTAGTGTCTATGTTATTCGATTCATGCATATCCAATAAAATTCAACTTACTTCCACACTGATAGTCATCACATGATCACTGAAAGAAAATTTTCAGAGTTATAGTGAGAATCTGTGACCAATAGAGTTCAACTTTGTCGAATATGCAGAGGTCATCGACCATTATAGGACGAAATGGCTATTCAGAGCTTCCTGTTTTCAATATTTGTCTAGATAAGGTCAGTCTGTAGTTCGGACTACAAGATTGAACTTTTTGAGAGAAGAGTTCAGTCATACAGTAACTCGGATTATACTTCCAATTTAATGAAATTTAATTACAACATATAATTTGTATGTGAACATGTGCAAAAGTTTCGTTATTTATGATAAATCTATCTGAGTTTTCACATTTATTCATTGATACTCAGTCAATTACCTTGAGTTCTAATTTCAATGATTATTTTTAATATCACATGTTGAGTTATTGAGAACCAAGTTACACTGAATAATTATTTAATCCTATTATGAAACTCCCAAGCAAACCTTATTAATGACTCCACAGATAATGTTGGACAATGATAACGAAATAATTTAATTATATTCAGATCATCCACATTTTTGACTTCAGTTAGTGTTTATCAAGGATTGTTAAATAATGTTCATGGTATGCATTTCATTGGTTTGCTTGCATTACAAGTAATATTTATCAATATAATTACCATACTATCATTTTATATATCTGTGCATGTATCCATCACTTATGTTTCTATTCCTTCGCTTTAACTTGACCTATACAGTTAACATATTAGTGGATAGTTGTTTTGTAAACATTGAATGGTGACGTACTTCAAGAATAATGTAGTTTAATTAATTTGTTTAGAAATCATTTTGGGAACTAACTATTGAGAACTTTACAGGTCTTTTTCTTTAAAAAAAACGTAAATTGACTGTTCTGTATTGTTTAATGATGGCAAGACTACCTTTGAGAGATGCTTAAGTGACCTTGAGACTGTCCACCTACTAACTATGACTAAATAGCGATTATAAACCAGTGTGAAGAATTAGAATTATGATTTACAATTGATGGTCAGGGTTAGAGATTGGATTCAGAGTTTTCATAACGAATTGACATCGACTAAAATGCCAAAACACTATTTAGCCAAAGGGATAAATGAATTTCGTGCCGAAATCCAGGACCTGTTATCCTAAATCTCATTAATTCATCCATAAATTATAGTCTCGCCTTAATAATTAAACTTCATGAACTGATCTATAATTCAATTCTTATCACTTATTTTACAGGCTGGATTTTATTGGATACGTTTAATTGATTGGTTTGTTGATCGTTTAATGTTGATACCAGTGCTAGGACAAGTGGCTGGTTTTCTCACTGTTTATGGTTAGTTAATGATAGACATTAATAAATAGACTTAACTTTCCTCTCATGCTCCTTTAACACGAATAAAAGATTTTTGTTAATATTTTTACAAAACGATTTGATAATTTATTCTATGGATGTTAAAAAATAAAAGTAGTCAGTCTTTATTGACATTTATACATCCTAGGTGGGATACCTTGATGTTACCATTTAGTCATAAGTCATAGTAAATCTTGATCCTGGTTAGCAGTGACATCCAGAACATATATTTTGACCTATTTGGGATTCGTCAGCTGAATATACATGCATTCCGTTGTTGATGTTCACAACGTAATTGGAACTTAGTGTTTATCTCTTCAAATACTAATTCATTTACCTTTAAGATACTGAATCTACATAGATAGTAACTTGTTTAAAGGGTATCAATACTGAGGTACAAAGACATACTTGATTTTACTGATAACCGCAATCCAGTTATACAGAATTTACTAATTTCCTAACAAATTCACATTGATATTGTAGTTCCCACTTGTTATTATTATAGTTTAGATCTAATATAAATGAGAATATATTGGATATTGATAAGGTATAACAAACTGTTACCTCAGTACATTCATTAATCTACTACATAAATGTTAGAAGATTATAGAAATAGCTATTCCAATATATCATTTAATGAAATAACCATTTAATCAAATAGTACTATCTTACTAATAGTTAATTAATGTAAGTGACATATGTAAGAAAAAGAATATTTTTTTAACAAAATAAGAATGGAATAATTCATATGAGAGTAAAATGTAGAATTGATATACTCAAAGGTTATCAATCAGCTAATAATCTTTAAGTTCTGACTATAATGTTAATTATGTAATAGATGTTCTATTATTAATTGATAATCTGTTAAACAAGCACATGTTATTTCAATAGTTAGGATCATAAGTCAGTTGAAGCTAGACCACCATAGAAAACCTGGAAGCACTATTGAAATTACTATAATATTCACAAAACCCTTCTGATATAAAACACATGTTAATTTAATAAAACGGAACTAGTTACTTGATGACGTAATTTTTCTTTTCTTTTCAAGTCTATACAATTGTCGTATTCGTTGAATTTTTTTTCAAATATTAATCAATTAATTATAAATTAAATATAAGTGTTTTTAGTATTTTAATACCATAAACTTGTTCATGGTGAAATCAACTTTCAAAATGACTATATCTTAACAAATGACTAAATTAAACAGTAATTGTGTATTTATTAATGAAGGAACTGTTTACTGAATATATCTTTTTGGATCTATACTTTGAAAGACAATTCATTTCTTAATTGTGTCGCTCAATTTCGTGAATTAGTTGAAGTTAGACATTAGCATCGTTAGATGCCAGTTCAGTGGTCTAGAGGCTAAGTCCTCACTCGTGAGACTGATAGGTCCTGGGTTCGTGGGTGCGCACTGATCAAGAGTCTCTCAACCGACGAAAAGGCCGTCCAGTGCTTCGAGGTTTTTCAAGGTGGTCTAGCTTCAACTGACGCATGATCTCAATTATTTAAATTCCTTAATTTTCATTTATAATTATGACTTGGACAAAATAAACTCATTAGTTCACATAGATTGGTTGTTTGGATATTCCCATTGATGTTTAGGATTATGATTGATCAGTCTATTTCTATGTATGTAAATCTTCCCTCAATATTGCCATGAATTCACGAGCATTGTCAGCAGAGTTCGATGGTGGTTATTTGTGGAATCCAGGATGCGCGTTTCATTCTATTTGGGACTAGTTATCTGGGCATACCTACATTCTAGAATGGATGTTCACTCCGGGACTCGAACCCAGTATCACTTGCTTCAAACACCGTCGCATTACTTACTTAACCACTGGGTTCGAGTTCCGGAGTGAAAACCTACAGTAGAATGTATGTATACTCATCTGACTAGTCCGAAATAGTACGGGACGCGCATCCTGGATTCCACTTCTAGCCACCATCCATCTCTGCTAAATATGCTTACTAATGTGTATGCAGCTGAGGAAGAAAGAGACAACGAAATCCTTTATTAATTCACCGAATTTCTCGAAGATTATTATTCTTTCTGTGTTTATATTGAAGAAAAGAACTAATTACAGGAAATGACGATTAAACTTTGGACTGACTGATATCAGAATTGTTCATCTGAACTGTATCGAAATACTTTAAATAAAAATTTCTCATTCTTTTTTCTTCGATTTCATTTACAGCTCATTTACGAGGCAGTAAAATAGAAACACCTATGGTAAAAACAATTATAATATGTATCTATGCTATACTCATTACTATTTCCAGTGTAAGTATTATTAATTGTCAAACGCATTTTACAAATTGTCTACGTTAAAATATTTTATCGATATTAAAGATAACTTTCATTAAACATCAGATTTAGTTGGAAAACTCCTTAGAAATAAAAGAGAATCTTAAGCTGGAACAAAAAGTGTCCGATTCTCTCTCGTTTTTAATGCTATTTTGTACCTGATGTCAAACAGTTTGCTTTACAATATACCCCAAGATCAAGTTGGAAATATATTATGTGCTACTCCTATTGACTCATGTTGTCTTTTTAAGTTTGTTTGTAGAGCAGGATACTGAGAACTTTTGGATTTCAAGTTTCATGATAATTGTTTCTGTACTCTATCTTCCATGTTGGAATGGTGTAAATGATATTCACGGCTCTTGACCGATTGGGTTGAATATGACCTCAGATTAAAAGTTAAATAGGTGATATATCACTTCCGAAATATGTTGATGAATTCGGGTAAATCGAACGCCCAGAATATCTTTCTGCACACTAGGACCCAAAATAATTTCACGAGATTTTTGTATGATCCTATCTCTATGCTTTTCAAATAGAAAGAGTATTAGAGACTGCCTAAACTTATTTTCTGATGTTCTGATATTTATCAGTTAGAATACTAGATACAGTCTTGAGACCTATAACACATGGTTTCGATTCGCAACTGAACGGCTTTGAGTATAGAGACAAGAAATTATCCTACCACTGACCTATGACCTCACTGGCTGACAATTGGAAAGAGACAACGATTTATCTGGAACTGTTTATTCAATTCATACCTGATTCAATTTATTCAAAAAAGGAAATGAATAAATATGTGTGAAACATGACCACAATGTACAAGAAATGAGAAAAATACACTTATATACAAAGCAAAACATTAGAGTGAAAAAGGTGGTGTACAAAGGTCACGTTAAGATTACAGTAATTTCGGAGTAGAAGAGAAAATGTTGGTAATTTACATATCAAACAAAAGCTTATAATCCACACAATAATTATATATATAAGGTAGTTGATTTACCATTAGTTTTCAATTCTGCTTAATTATTCTATATACACTTTTGTTTCGTTGAAATAAAGGGTATTTATACTTGGTATATATTTTCAAGTTTACAAAAACCACCTGATTTTCAATGTCGTACATACAGTCGAGCACCATTAAATGATCCGATTCAGAATAATTTTATTCTACTTGGTTGGTTAATAGCATTTGGTCCTATACTATTGGGTATAATAATTGGATTGGTTATGACATGTATACGTTTTCATAGTCATCAAACTGTAGGATATTCGGTAAATTATATTGTTATATTTGTTTTGTCAATAATTGTTTAGACAATTTATTTCCGTAATAGAGTTATAAAAATTGACAACGAACTTATATTACTGTTTATTTTAGTTTTGATTTCATTGTTATGTATGGCTTCTGAGGAGAACTTCTCAGAAGAATGTGTACTAGATCAATCCAGCAAATTATTCTATAACAGTTTGTACATACGTTTCAAAAAATCTTCATAATGTATTATACAAATGTGAATTTGTTCTTTTTTTTTACAGAATTTTACATTTACGCAGATATAAATTGTATCAGTTTTAGTTCGTTTAAAGACTATTTTAAGAAAATAGTTGACATTTATGAAATGTCCCTCTAGTTCAATAAGATGGTTCCAAACTAATGATAAGTTATTTCCTATTTATAGAATTCTTTAGAAAATACTTGCCTAGAATAAATTACTTAGAATATTTGGATACTCCCAAAGGTTTCATTGAAATCATGTAGCAATTGAGTAGATTCAGTAGTTTATTATTCTGCAAAGTGAACAAGATCAAGTATGAATCATTTTAGGGAAAATTATATGTTGAATTACAGGAAAAACGTCTGTAATAAATTAATATACTTGTATAAACAGTAAACTAATGTCTTCGAACTAATGAGTATGACTTGTTATTTTCTCTGTAAAGAATCGATCGAGTGTATGCACAATACAATATTTAGAAGCCTAGAATCAGTATCGTTAACTTCAGCTGTATTGAGCTTGCCATAATGCCATACTCAATAACTGATTTATGGCTTTCCTCTCGAGACTGTGATTTTTTTCACATATCTTCACTTAGTCTCCTCATCTAACCTTTTTTTTAATTTACAGTACTTCAATTATTTATTCAAAGGTGAGTATGGCCTACAAAAGTTTATGCAGAAAACAGCTCAATTATCACATATGAAACGTAATCTTCCGAAATACTCAAATATGCCTAAAAATCTTTCATGGACTAGAATAAATAACTTTAACACTGCTTATGGTTCTCCTAAGTTCATGACATCAGATTTATCCAATCCAAATAATCTTGGAACGAATAGAACAATTTATCGATCCGTCGGTGATCAATTAGGAAATTTTGTTTCGTCCAGTCAAGATATTGCCCATGCTTATTCGACAAACCAGCTACCTAATTACTATGAACATAATGAGACAAGTCAACTGAATGCTTGTTTACTTCCTCCTCACAGAAAATCCGAAGTGAACATTTACAACAGTAGATTAATGTCAGAGTTAAAAGATTATCAACACCAGAAAATTAAACATCACAGACCTTATATTTATCCAAATCACCGTTCAATTGGTACACTGGATATATACGAAAGTGAAGAATTCTTGTAAATTAACTTCAACTTTTACGAACATTCTCTTTGTTTTTTTTTAAAAATTATTCTGTGGAGGAAAATTCAAACACCACTTGGGCGTAATTACTAAGTTGTTTATAACAATATATATATATATATGTAAAATAATTTTTTTCGTTTTGTTGAAAAATAGTTCAAATAATTCAAATATCTTTACCGTTTTCATTTATAATCACAAACATATTCGAAATTATCTCAGCTAGTATACTGTCAGAATACGATCCACATTACGTAATCACTAGCGGTGTCGGTTAGAAAAGTGGGACTGTTGGCCTTATGGTTCTTTCTGGAAATCATTAAATACATTTTGCCGTATCTCAGTAACGTTCAACATTTATATTCTGGGAATGAAGTGCACTGTTAATCTTTAGGTAGTTCATAACCTTTCTTATAAAGTAACGACATCTTTTATACAACAGCTATCCAGATTTCCCATTAGTGAGTTTATATATGTTTATATTAACCGAAGTAAATTTTCACGTTCGTATAAGTGAGAAAAATAGAAACATTTTGGTTTATAATACTAGATCAATAATTTTGCTTTTAGGACTAAGTGTTTCGTAGTAGGATTCATGTGACAAATTTTCCGACAACATCTAGACGACACAACTCCACCTGGACCCTTTCTAGGGTCATTGATGGTTTCAAGCCTGAATAAAGAAGAAGAGTTGGGTGTGAGTTTGGCAAATCCATCCTGTACAAACGCTTATGTAAAAACGCTCGCCAAAATAAGTCATTCAGACCACTTAAGTTCTTCACAGGGAGTTGAATGCTCTTCATGTAGAAAAGCTGTAAAATCTGATGGTGAAAGTTAAGGTCCTTTATAAGTCATGAAGCCAATGATTTTTTTGATAACCATAGAGGAAATAAATGATGACAGGTACATGGAATGTTCTGAAAATGTGGATGACCAGGGATATTACTCAAATAACAGCGGAAACGAGAATTAACAGCTTGACTCTACTTGGAATAAGTGAAATCCATTGGACACTAATCGAATAGTAAAGAATAACTTCTGATGAAGTGTTTGTTTACCCTGATCGTAACGTAGAAAGTTACTCTCAGGGATGAGCAGTCATATCGGTGTTTTCCAAAGAAGCACATAGAGCGCCTACACGATGGAAATCTTATGGATTTAGGATCATTTAAGTAACCATCAAAATAATAAGAGAGATGCTACAATGAATGTTTTTAGTACAATTTGACCACCAATGATAGTATTGAAGATAATGGTAATGAGTTTTATGAGAGCCTGGACTCCATTGCGGAGAAATGTCCGGGAAAAAACCTAAAGGTTCTGATGGTTAACGTAAACGCCAAGGACAGACTAGAAAACACTAGGTATGAAGTTATAGAGGGGTAGTACAGACTTAATGAATGACAATGAGGAGAAACTGGTTGATCCATATGCTTTCAGCAAAATGATTATAGGCGGTAGTACTTCCTCCCACAAACGTATACATAAATCCATATTGGTTTAATATGACCACAATACAAAAAAATCAGATCGATCATATCTGCGTCAATAAAAGTTCGGGAGATACATGAAAAATTTAAGAACAAAAAGCTGGCGTAACTTTAGATAATTGCTTGGTGGCTGTCAATAAAAGTGGAAGCCACCATGATAAATGACGGGGGAGGAGTTCGGAGGAGCAATAAATTCATAATACCAAGAGGTGCTGGGCTTCATGAAGCATCAACAATAGGCGAAACAAACAGGGCTATCAAAGAAACAAAGAACAGAAAAACACCAAGACCAGACAGCATACCAGCGAAAGCACCCAAGTATGATACAGAGGAAAATGTGACTATGTCCTATACTTTCTTGCGAAATACTTAGAATGAATATCATTGATCGGGAGGCTGGAAAGTAAGATAACTTGTAATGACTTACTTTTGTCAACAGAACGCGACTGGTTCAATGAAAACAATTATTATTATAACCAATTGTACCAGTAATTGTTTTACTGTGCTCGCTTGTTTAACTGTACTAATGACAGCCATTACTCACTCACTCTCCCGTTGACTTTGAACTTGCACGGATTTTGTTACGCTTAGTACTTACGCTTGTCCTCCTTTGGCACGATCTCGGTATTCTTTCGATACCACGAGATCGCCAGCAAATACATCTCGACTACAGCCATCATCTGCCTTCTGATATTGAGATACGGGGATCTTATCGGTTAACTGGCACGTAGTCTTCTCGTAGTGGTGTTCATAGTCAATCGAGACTCGACTCCATACTACAAACTCACCAAGTTACATATGATTAGAATTCACAGTGATTGTGAGAGATACGGAGGTTTTGTGTGCTTTCCGGTTTTCCATTTAACTTTTTTTATTCGTCTCTTTTCAGGCCTTCTCCCTCCACGCTACTCTGCATTCCACCCTAGTTTACAAAGCACCTTCTAGTTAAAATGTAACCGCCAAAGCAACACACTACAAACAGTCCTAGTCAAAGCTATAAATTCTGTTGCCAAAACGGACTGAAACGTTTGCGGAAGACCAAATCAGATATGCACTTTATCAGGGTGAATCATATACCAACAGAATTGTGACACTACAGATCAATATTGAGCGATATAATGAATAGCAATCATTACTCAGTAATGAATTTCTCGATTACGAGAAAGCATTCAATAGCATAGACAGACGAAATTTGACGAATTCTCTCAGACGTTATGGAGTATATGTGTTACGGGAAGATGGTTGACAATTCATCTGTATTTACAAGAGATCTGATGTTTATATTGGATTTACGTGACAACACTACCAAGCAGCGGTTGATACGATTTAATTCTTGGCTAACGATTATGGGAAAAGGGCTTTATGTTCTGTGGACTCAGATAGTTGTTTGTTTGTGAATATGCAATTGTGCCTGAAGCCATGTGTTATGGTTACTCATTTTCTAAAAGAACTAGAAGAGTCTAATGATGTTATGATTTGGAATCGGAACAAAGAGTTCGCGGTAAATAAAAAAATTAGTAGGTTTACATATTCATGTTTACGTTACCTTATATAAGCTTCTACGGAGGATGGAGCATTTTGTTAAATGGTTGGTACTGCAGTTGTTTGTGTTGGCACAAATATTTTGGAGACGTTTGTCTAAAGAATATGTTTCCTTGTGGCAACATAGGATATAGTAACCTGGTGAAGACATGTTCTGGTTTCTTAGGGAAAAAAATGGTTATTAGGTCTGGTAAGTAAAGTGATACCTAGTAATGAGAGATTAAGACCGATGGAGTTGAAGACAAGCCAAGGAATCTGAGTAAGAGATATTCGAAGTTGTAGATGCTAGGTAGCTACTCGAATCCCTAGGCATACTGGTGTAACTCCTAGGGAACACGAGATTGTTGGTATATTGAATATTTGTTGTTGAATGCATGTAATGCATATACTTGGATTCTAGTTGCCTATTTGTCTGTGAAAAGAACCAAGGTTCTTTTGGTCGGGAGTGTTATGGGAGAACTGAAGACGTTTGTCTGATTAAAACCTTTATATTAAATATTACTAATTACACTGTGTTTTTGAATGTACTTGTTTCACTCAACTTCTGAATTTGTTTGTTTATATCATTATTTTTAGACATTTTGGTTTCTCTTTGTCTTTGGTTTGGCATTTGGGAGATTTTGCACCGAGAACCTACAAAACTGATGGTTTGTTTCTATAGTTGTTAGAACGACATTTCGGTCGACTATTTGTAAATTGCGGATAAACTTTGGTACCTAAATTAAAGTTTGGTTCTATAGTTAATTTGGGTCCGTAAGTTGCAAATAGATTGATGTACCGTACTTCATTAACGGGAACGAGCAAAAACTTGGACGTAAAAATTTGAGATTATCATTACTATCATACACAACTCCTGCGGCAGACAAAATCGCGAAGTAGTGTACTGGGGTCAGCTCCTAGGTAAATTTAAATAAGAATTTTTGTCAGAAGTAGTTTCTTTCTTTTGCTTTTTCTCTTACTTCCGGTCACTGACTGGATCGTAAAAACCTCCATACCTTAGTGACAGCACTGAATACAATGGGCAGCTTGGGTGCACCTGGAAAATTTAGACTTTGCAGGTTACTTAGCTCTTGTATCCCATGAACAGCAACAAACAAATTCAGGAAAGCCCATGTAACCGTAGTTTGCAACAGTAAGCCTTAATGTACACAATAGGATAATCGAGATCACGAAATACAAAACAATGAGTGCCAACCAAATCACACTGCATGGACGATCTCTGGAAGTGCTGGAAAGTTTCACGTTTCAGGGGAAGATCATTAATGAACAGGGATAATCTGATGCGTACCTAAGACGACAGATAGGCAGAGCAAGGGCAGCATTCCAATAGTTGAAGAATACATGGATTTCAAAATAACTTTCAGCTAACAATAAGGTCAGAATTTTCAGGACGAACGTCAAGACAATTCTAACGTACGAAACCGAAACTTGAAGGACTACGAAAAGAATTATCAATGAAATACGGGTATTTATTAACAGTCATCTACGCATGATACTTCAGATCCTTTGGCCAGAGACCTCTAGCAATATCCAACTGTGGCGGCAACCAAACCTGCTACTAGTTGAAGGGGAAAGTAAGAATAACCCCGGTACGTGTGATGTATTTTTCCGGAGCCACCATACTGCATCATTTGAGAGGCTCTGAATTAAGGGAAAAAGGAGACTGAAAGTTACATTTCGTGGGAAATTCGGTATCAGACGTTCAAATCATAAGTAGGGCTCGCCAGAGATCGGAAAAAAGATTCTGGGACCCAGTCAGCCAGAAAATCCAGGATGAAGACCTATGTTTCGTAGGGTTAACAGGGTTAGGCAACTTGTTATGGAAGCATGGTTGAACAGAAATATACCATACCGCATGTTCGTAATACGATATCAGTTCTTCCGGCATATGACTTTGAACCATTTAGCAAAATAATTTTTTCGTATCAAATTTTACATAAATGCACTTGGTAATTTGTAGTCGTGTGGGAATGACGTCAATTTTGGGAAGGCACTCGTCGACTAGAATGGCACGTCAGTAAAAAAATTAATTCGCTTCTGAATAATTCCGATAAAGATTATCATTTCCACCAATAATTGATGAAACGTTAGGTAGTCGGAACGTATGGTTTACACTGTAAAATTTTTGGAATATTAATTCTTGCCACCACTTCAGTTTCTGCTGCAAACCTCTAAGAACGGAGGAAGATATAAAATCACAATTCTCCTCTTACATCCATAAGCTACGGCTCCAGCCAAACAGGAAAAACAAATTCGAACCTGTTTTTTACAAGTTAACATGATTAGCACTTACAGACTTATTCAAAATATACCATTTGATAACAGGAAAACGCCTTACTTTTCAATTTCAAACATTTTAAAAGCAAAGACCAAAGCAATGAGACCTAATATTGATTAGATCGGCATGAGAGATAAAATGATCCAGTAAAATATTTTATTTGAAGATACAGAAT